ACTTGGTAATTGCGATTCATTGAATTTATCAAATGAATTCATGTAGTCGTAAGGATAAACTCCTTTTTCAGTTAATAAGTCTAAATCGGTTTTATTTCTAATATATGGATTTGCTGATGAAAATCGGAAATTATCCTTCCAGTCATTCCGCTTTTTATATATAGGTTTATCATGTTCATCTTTACCTACTATGTCATATTTATTTAACTTAACTAATTTATCCAAAGATGCTGAGAGAAAAGCCATGCTATCTTTAAACTGTAATGAACCAAATGAAAATGTAATAAACTGTTCGCTATTTTGTGCTATTACATCTATTCTCTTATTTTCGTTCAATTCCTTATTTATTTCATTTGCTTTGCCTATTATTAAGTGAGAGTCATAGTTTTTTAAATTATGAAAAAATACTGGTATCTTGAAATATCTAAATGAATAATCCAAATTACATTTTTCGTGAGCACAACCTCTATACTCACCAGTAAAATGACAGTGGTCTCTGACTTTTGAATCTTCTGGTTTAAAATTCTTATTACATATTGAACATACAGTAGCTTTTCTAAATTCTGCTTCTTGTTCATCTGTAATATCCATTGGTTTATTAACATTCATTTTATCAAAAATATCTTTTTTAATTTCTCTTAATTTATTTACAAAGTGGTCTAAACAATCCTCTCCACGGTATAAAAAAGGTTGACTTGTATTATCAATAGAATTTACAACATTCAACATATAACCGCATGGTTTATGTTCCTGATACGTGCCCTTGATGCCATTATTTGAATTTACAGTTATACACTCAAAATCTCCATAAACAACAAATGGACATTTTAATTTTGTATTGTATTTTTCAAATTCAATATAACTACCTTCTTTTGGTAATTTAAACTGTTGTCCATGTGTTGCCATACAACCAGTTTCATAATGTTTTGTTAATAAATCCTTTCTAGTAAAGGCATGAGAACAATAATGACAATAATGTTTTGGTTGGTCATTTTTGTTTGTTTGCCAGTTCATTAGACGACTTAGACTTTTAATAACTACATAATGATTATTATTATTGATTTCAATTTTCAAAAGGTTTATTTGATGTTTAGCATCTCTTGTTTTAGTTCTGTAATCAATTATAATTTTCTTTTCATTCAAAGTATCATCAATTTCATAAACATTGATTGAAACTAACTTACTATTATTTTCTTCAAACCTTTCAATATCTTTATTACCAGTTGGAAATTTAACACCTTCCCAGTTTAAGATATTGTCATTTAATTTGTTGTAATGGAACATTTCTTGGGAATTTGATTTATTAATTATATCAAACACTACACTTTGAACACTATATTTAAAACATTTGTTATCTTTGTTTTTGATATTAATACATGCCTTTTTTAGTTTAATCCATTCTGGTAAATCTATATAACTACCCGCCCTAGTTGGGTCATATTTGTCATAATGGATTGTTATTGATAATATTTTTTTAAATTGTAAATTAGATGCTGAACCTTCTAGTTTCTCTATGTTCAATAAAATCTCTTTGATTGATTTTTCAATTGCTTCATCCAAATCGGTTTCATTATATATGTTTGCCCTTGTTGCAGGTAAATTATAAAGTATCTCTGTATGTTTTATTACTCCATCATCATCATAATAATGATAAAATAAACCTTCTGCCCTTATATTCAGTTTCATTGCTCTATTAGTTTTCAAAAAGGTCAAAAGTCTATCTTTTTGGTGGTGTATCATTGATAGTGCCTTTTCACCTTGAAAATGTTTATTTACTAGTTTTATAGAATTAGCATAACTTTTGAAAGCTGATTGTTGGTCTGTTACTTGGAATTTATTTTTGATTGCATATTTTGTCATTGCATTTTTCATTCTTTGTTTTAGGTATGTTGAGCGCAATGTTTTTGTTGCATAACTATTATACTCATTAGTTCTTGCTTCTGATTTTAATTTCTTGTTCAAAACATTTGAGATGGGTTGTTCTTTGTTGTATCTAAATTTTTTACCATCTATAATTATTGATTTTAATTCCTTGTTTCCTCTTTTTGGAATTTCCGCTTTATCATTATTCAACAGATAATCTATAACATGTTTCATAATACTATACTATATAAATTTAATGTGTTTATTTCTTTAAGTGACTTTTTAGAAAAATATACTTAAAGATTTAAAACCTTAATATAATAAGAGGAAAATGAACGGTGATAAAATCAATAATTATATCAATAAAAAATGCTATGATTGTTGTCACTTCAAAAAAGAAAATATGGAATTGTATAAATTGAATTTACCTAATGAAACAGTGAATAATATTATTAATTATTCAATGGATGAAAAAGTCGAATGTGAAAATTGCCAGGAATGGAGAGATAATCAATTTTTAATCAAATGTCTGTTGAGAATAAAAGGAAGACATAATAGAAATGTAGAAGATGAGATTTTAATATTTCTAACTGTAAATAAAATACCACCTTATGATTATGTTAAACAGTTTCTTAAAATCAGTAAGAAAAAATATGACATGATGTATGATATATTATGGATGTTGGGATATAGTCAAGAGAAAGGAGAAGATGTTAAAGAAAGTATCAAATTATTTATTGAAAGTAAAAAGTTTAATATTCAAAATACATTGAGAGATATTAATATTATTTTTAAAATGATGTATGAAAGAAGAAAGATTTGTCAATTAAATTATTATCCTGTACTGAAATTATAATCATACTATAATAATAACATGTAAAATCTTATATGTTATAATTATACTGTACTTATAGTTTGTAAAGATTGAAATATTTCATTTTTTCTTGATTTGGCTGACTCTTTCAAAGTGCGTTGTTTGAACTTGGCATGCTCTTTTGATTTTTTCGTGCTTTGGCTGTTTGTATTTTATTTTGTTTGATACTCTTCTGATATTTTTTGTTGGTATGTTGCTTTGTTTTTGTTGATGTGTGTGTTTGAGTTTGTGTTCTTTGATGGTTTTTATTTTTGCTTTTTTGTTGGTATGCTTGTTTGAATTACTTAATGTTGTATGCTTTGATTAAATATTTTGTTGGGGGTTGTTCTGGTTTTTGAGTTGCTTGGTGGTTCTTATCTTGTTTTCTGTGAATTTTGCTGATTTTGTTGTATGCTGTTTGATTATTTGGGTTTGATGCTAGAAGTGCCATTTTATGTATTTTTTGGGGGCGGGGGGGCGGCAATTCCCTCCATGATGATTGAAAAAGTGATGATTCAATTAAAGGCGTGGGGAGGGGGTTGGGGGGGGGGCGGCAGCCCCCCCATGATGATCGAAAAAGTGATGATTCAATCAGGGACAAAAAGTCTAAAAAATAGCGGGGGGGTTGGGGGGGGGGCGGCAGCCCCCCCCATGATGATCGAAAAATTAGGGGCAAAGAATCTAAAAAGTAGCGGTCGCATGATGATCGAAAAAAGTGATGATTCAATTAGGGGCAAAAAGTCCAACAGATAGCAGGGGGGTTGGGGGGGGCGGCAGCCCCATCCCATGATGATCAAAAAAGTGATGATTCAATCAGGGGCAAAAAGTCTAAAAAATTGCCGGGGGGTTGGGGGGGGCGGCAGCCCCCCCCCATGATGATTGAAAAAGTGATGATTCAATTAGGGCCAAACAAAAAAAAAAAAAAACAGCAGGGGGGTCATCAGTTCCTCTGCGGCAAGGCCTCATGGTACAAGTGAGGATTCAAATACGGGCAAACTAATCCCTGTAAAACGGCACCCCCCCCCATGATGATCGAAAAAATAGGGGCAAAGAATCTAAAAAGTAGCTGTCGCATGATGATCGAAAAAGTGATGATTCAAATAGGCGTGCATTTTAATCGAAAGGGGGGTGGCGGGGGGCCCAGAGAGGAACTTGCGATGCTGAGGTTGCAGGAAGCCAACTGTCAAAAAGCCAAAAAGCCACCTCCGCAGCGGAACTGGCAATGCAGAGGATGCGAAAAGAGAGGAACTGTGAATGCAGATGATGCGAAATGAAAAGCCACGAAAGCCACAAAAACCCACGTAAAAGCCACAAAAGCCAAAAAGCCGAAAAGCCGCCGACCCTGAAAAACAAAAATAATTCCTAAAAAAAAACGAACAAAATTCCTAAAAAAAATGGCCCTCCATTGTAAACACAGCGCGCTGCCAGGCTCAAAAGAACAGTCAATTATAAGAACAATGCTATCTTGAGCTAATCCGAGGTTGAGTAGGCTGCTGCACAAAGTGGTTGTCAGGAACTTGAAGTCAAGGGGCGGGGGCCGAGGCGGAATGAGCTGGGCTGAATGAGCTGGGCTGGGTGTGGCGCCGCAGGGTGACTGGGGGGTGGGGGGTCTACGCAAAGGAACATGTTCAACGCAGCCGCGAGCAGCTTTTGCGTGATGGGAGAATAGAGCTCCCCAACAACGTTTAAAAGAAAGGAACGCCGCAGGCGCCCCAGTTGTAGTGGTTTTCAGGCCAACAGCCTCGCCGGAGACCCTAAGCTGAAGACCCGCATGATCCAAACACAGATCTGACCGCTTCCCGGCCCTGAAAAACCAAGGGCGAACTGAAACGGATCAGCGCCCGAAGCCCACTTCACCAACTAGCCGTGGTTGAACAACTCGCAAAATCTGGCCGCAAAAACTCGGAACAGATGGCCGGAGTAAAGAAAACTTGAAACAGTTGGCCGGAACAAGCTTGGAGAAGTAAAGAAACACTCGAAAGACTCAAAAAGATCGAAGAAGCGGAAACTAGGCGGCAAAACTCAGAAGAACTGGGCGGAACAACGCGCGGAAAAAACGTGGAACACCTCGCGATAAAAACACGGCAAACCTGGGCGGATAAACTTGGAAAAAGTGGGAAGAGCTTGGAAAAACTCGGAGAAGCGTGAGAAAAACTGGGCAAAACTGGGCGGAACCGGCAAAACTCCAAGCAGCTGGCCGGAACAAAAACTGGGACAACACGGAAAAACTGTGCGGAAGTTGCCTTTCAGCAGGAAAGTGGGAGAGCAATGCTGGGTCCCGAGCTCCAGCGCACTGAGGTCACGGAGGACCCACTGTGGGCCTGGTGGAAAACGCAAGCCGTTTCGGGACCTATGCGGATTTGTCTGGTTTGGTTGTTTGTTCCTGCTTTGTTGCGGTTGTCTTTTGGTTGTTGCGTTGCTTGTTTCTTGATTTGTTTGCGGGGTCAGGTGACTCTGTCAAACATGACCGGTTTGACATAAAAAGGTTGAAAGCCACAATGATTCACCTTTGCCACTTGAAAGGCTTCTCTGTCAGGACACAGCTATAAATGCGAATTTGCGCAGGTGAACCAATTTACTGGTGACAAACATGCTGCGTGCCGCCTGCTCTGGTCGCCTTTCTCCAAATGTCAATGAGATTGTTCAGCATGCTAGCTACGGCCAAAATATGCGGGTGCCAGAAAGACCACAAAAGATGAGCGAGTCTCCTGGTTCCGTCGCAAATTCTGTGAGTGCCCCAGGCCACTCCTAAATGGACCATCGATTGGAGATTTGCTAGCGCCGCATTTCAACTGCGAGCTGAACCCTCCTGCAAAACACTCCGATCTCCGGAACTTTCAGCTCCCTGGTTGCGCCGCAGCTCGCCGATATGTTGCTACGGCGGACGTCTTAAACCACTTGGGGCATCTTTCGGAAGAGGTACTTTTTGGAGCGTACCCCTTTTGGATTGTGGTTCAAAGTCACATGTATATTCCAGAAAACGATGCCTCCCCAAAAAACAACAGACCCAAATGTGGTGACGGTTGCCTCTCTGCTTTCTGTCCGAAACCTTAAACGAGCCATACTCAAAACCTGGAGAAGTCCACCCCACCATGTTTCTTGACCAAAACGGGTCAAGGGGGGGGGGGACAGCATTCTGCACGTGTCAAGGGCACCCCCCCCAAAAAAAAAACGCAGCCCAAACCGGTGTTGTTGACATCAATTCGGCGCTTTCCTCGGGTCAATGCGGACATCTCCAGCCTTCGACAGCGTGTTGACCACCTGGTTCCCAACCGCGTCCCAGAACTTGATGGAGCCATCCTGAAGACCAGCCCTCAACGGGTTGAGCATCTCTTTCCACCGGGGGGTGCAACCAACCCATCCAAGGGCACGTCCCCTTTTTAGGCCCCAGTCATTGATTCTTTACGGGGTTGCAGCAAATCCCAACCGGACCACCATAGAAGTGCACAGGGGAAAAGCACTCACAACATGGGTGGTTCCCCGTTGAGTCTGTTCCTTCAAAAGCACCCAGCAAAGAACAATTCCAACTCAAAAAAACACACCCTGAGTGGATTGGTTACAAAAACAGCTCCAGGCGTTTTGCTTGCCGTGAAAGTGAACTCCCCAAAAAGTGTAAAGTCCCCAAACCGGGAAGAGAGCCGAGTTGCTTTGGACAGAGGGTAAGACCCACCAAAAATGGACATGGTTTCCCTTCAAAGCCACCCAACGAAAGGTACTCTCAAAAAGAGGAGGGGGCTTGCTCCTTGTGAAACCCAAACCACGGGAAAAACGGACAAAAAGGGAGCGCGGAGAGGGGGAACCGGCACCTGCACGCGCCCACTAAGGGCACTGCCATAGAGGCGGTTGCCAGGATCTTTCCATCGCTGCAGCAGCGCAGGTCGTTGATTCCTGCCGTAATCAAAAGAAATGGGGCAGGATTTTGAGGGGGCACTTGATGGTGAAAAGCAATCGTCTCCGTCTGAGAAGGATCCTGGATCTTCTTGTAACGAGTGTAGCCCAACCCCCATGATTCGGACCCCAAAAGCTTACCTGGCAAGCGACCTGCTTGACGCAACTGCAGCCTTCCGCACACGAGCCGGCTCCTGCATTGTGATGCTGTTCTTGGTGCGATGTCGTAAAGCAGCTCAATGTCTGCAGGTCGTACATCCTGACGGCCTCCAGGTCAGATGTGTGTGCAACAAAGATGCAGGGTCCTAAGAATGTGAGAATGACACCTTTACCACCGTTGGCGTCTAGCACGGAATGTTTGGAAGGTTCATTCTGATTTGCTCAAAATCAGCTTCTGCTCGCTTGGTGATTTGGCTTGGTGGTTTGGAGTTCAGGGGGTGACTGTCCATTTCCCCTCAAGGACCTGACGCACCCAACCGTCGTGCACAAGCGCCCAGCGAAGCACTTGTTTCTTGTCCGTATCTTAGATCAAAGGCGGCAGGTGTCAGAGTCATGGCCTGGCACAACTGCAACAAACGACCTCGAGCAACCAATAGAGACACGCGAGCTTGCAAACGCGCAAAGCTGTAGCCCAAGAGTTGTGGAAAGCGCGCAATCAAAGTGGCTAGTTCTGCTGCTGAAAAATGAGTCAAAAGGAAAACTACTTTCGGTGACATGTTTGTGCTGATGCTGCAGCCCAGCAACTGTGGAAAAGAAGCCACCGCCTTCGCAATCTGCGCTTTGCTCAACCCCAGCTCTGCAAACCAGCGCACGGTGGGCTTCAGGTTGTCCTCGATGCTGTAACCCAGCAACTGCGGAAAAGAGGCCACCGCCTTCGCAATCTGCGCTTTGCTCAACCCCAGCTCTGCAAACCAGCGCACGGTGGGCTTCAGGTTGTCCTCGATGCTGCAGCCCAGCAACTGCGGAGAAGAAGCCACCGCCTTCGCGATCTGCGCTTTGCTCAACCCCAGCTCTGCAAACCAGCCCACGGTGGGCTTCAGGTTGTCCTCGATGCTGTAACCCAGCAACTGCGGAGAAAATGCCACCGCCTTCGCGATCTGCGCTTTGCTCAACCCCAACTCTGCAAACCAGCGCACGGTGGGCTTCAGGTTGTCCTCGATGCTGTAACCCAGCAATGACGGAAAAGAAGCCACCGCTTTCGCGATCTGCGCTTTGCTCAAACCCAGCTCTGCAAACCAGCGCACGGTGGGCTTCAGGTTGTCCTCGATGTTGCAGCCCAGCAATGGCGGAGAAACTGCCACCGCTTTCGCGATCTGCGCTTTGCTCAACCCCAGCTCTGCAAACCAGCGCACGGTGGGCTTCAGGTTGTCCTCGATGCTCAAGCCCAGCAATGACGAAGAAAATGCCACCGCCTTCGCAATCTGCGCTTTGTTCAACCCCAGCTCTGCAAACCAGCGCACGGTGGGCTTCAGGTTGTCCTCGATGCTGCAACCCAGCAATGACGGAAAAGAAGCCACCGCTTTCGCGATCTGCGCTTTGCTCAAACCCAGCTCTGCAAACCAGCGCACGGTGGGCTTCAGGTTGTCCTCGATGCTGCAGCCCAGCAACTGCGGAGAAGAAGCCACCGCCTTCGCGATCTGCGCTTTGCTCAACCCCAGCTCTGCAAACCAGCCCACGGTGGGCTTCAGGTTGTCCTCGATGCTGCAGCCCAGCAACTGCGGAAACGAGGCCACCGCCTTCGCAATCTGCGCTTTGCTCAACCCCAACTCTGCAAACCAGCGCACGGTGGGCTTCAGGTTGTCCTCGATGCTGTAACCCAGCAATGACGGAAAAGAAGCCACCGCTTTCGCGATCTGGGCTTTGCTCAAGCCCACAATTTGCAGAAACATTATAGTTTTGCGCACTGACCCTCCGACGGGCCGACAGCGGACACCCACCGCTGCAATCTCTTGCTTCCTCATCCCAAGGTCCCTCAAGGGCAACAACAACTCAGTTCGGTTACGATCTGCGCCACGGACATGTGCCGACATGGCATAATGGCTGGCATCCACACAACCCCCATGCTCCTCAAAGTCTATCAACCTTGTCCGAACAGCTGAGCATAAGTCCTTCCCCAAATCGCGCGCCATGCGCCGCACGAGCACGGACAGGGCATTCGCAAATGATTTGCCCTGTCCCTGCCAAGGCTTCAGGCGAATCTGCACGGCTTCTGTCTGCTCCTCCAGCGGAAAGTGCCCGATCCGGAGCACTTTGGAGCCGGGCGGCGCGAAAGCCAACAGGGCCGCCGTCTTCCTCGCGTCATTTCGTCTGCCCTCTGCCTCCCCATGGCGCCAGAACCCGTCATACTCCACAAACAGCCCGGCATCTGGCGAGTTCAGCACCCCGTATGCCGCCAGATCCGGGTCCAAGTAGTGCCCCTTCCACCCCGCAGGCGCTGGAAAGCGCCGGAAGAGCTCGCCAAGCGGCTCCGCCGGCATCAAAAGCCGCGCCACCTGGGACAGCAACTCCACCTCCGCGCGGCTGCCATGCAGCTTCCGCGGCCTGCCTTGCCGCCACCAACTCGGCGCCGAAGCTGCAGTCCATGGAGGAGGCCCCAAGGCCAACCAGCTGATGGACAGGGCCAGGGTCAAGAGACCCGTGCGCCGTCTGCCCGACATGAAAGCTTTGGCTACGTTGCTGTGGCGGTGCACGGCTGCGGCAATGAAAACACTCAAACGTGGCATGTCAAGTTCAGAGCGCCCCGTCTCCTAAAATGTTGAAAAGGGGATATCAACGCTTTACATAAGCACCTACCGAAGTACGTACTAGTGCATTTTGAAGAAGCACTGCTACTTTGGAGGATGTCGGATTTTGCAAGGACAACGTGCAATGGAAACCAACATGGGGCCAGTCATTTGGCGGTGTCCGTGCTTCGGCGAAAACAGAGCATGCGAAAGAAGAGGCGTGATTGGACAACAGCACCTCACGTCAATCATGAGCTCTTCAGTGTGAGGGCCGTCATTAGGGGAGTGGTGAGCTAGTGACCCGCGCCACATCTTCAACATGCTGGGCAGGCCGGGTTCAAAAGCACCACATTCCTGGGGAGAGGGGGTGGGTAGATGGCAGTTGTGGGAAACGGTAGTTTAGGTAGCCATTCGTTTGAGTGGACAAGAGAATCCCCTTGGTGATGAGTAATCATATGGCCCATGTTGGTATCGCAGCACGCAATTTCAAGATGGGAATTGGAGCAAACCAAAAGAGTTCAACTCGAACAAACATGTTTCAGCTCTTGGCAAAGAGACTGCACTTTATCATGGACCGCGCTTGGGGTGTGCTTTGAACATGGGCACCTCCTTTTGGATTCTTCATTGAAGGAAAACCATGGGTATGTATGATATGTGACAGCCAACATTGTGATGCTCCGCGATGCTCCTGTTGATTTCCCTTTAAACCAATCAAAAAACGGTACCCCTTCACAAAAGACACACACACACACTCATGAAGGGAGTCATCTGAATTAAGCAAACGACATGAGCCACTCTCCGCTCGGCCTGGTGAGCCGTGCCGACAAAGAGGAAATCCCCGCAGGGGTGGATGCCTCAGAAGTGCTTCCGGACTGCCTTACCGACGTTCCAGGCAGAAAAATGAAGGTCTGAACTGCTTGAAAAAGGCTGAAAGTCCAACAACTAACTAGGAAAGTGTGTAAACTTTTCAAACCAGCAGCAAAAGTAGGCCCCGAAGTGCACGCTCAACTGGCCCCCTCCAAACGGGTTTCAAAAAGGAGGCCTTTTCAACCAAATGGCAGTCTTTGCGAGTCTTTGGAGCAATTCCCTTCTTGCTTCAAAATGAAGAGCCAGCGACCGGGTCCCTCTTCCAGGGGCCCGGGTCCTTTACGTTCAACGCAAAACGGAGCCGGTCCAGGGCTCAAGACCACCCCGAGGAGCGCACAAATGCTGTGTACCGCATAGACGTCTTGCAGCACCGAGAACGCCTCGTCAGCCCCGCTGAACGCCGAGTAAAACGCCCTGTGTGTTTGGAGCTTCGAACTTTGCACGTTTTGCCACCCAAAAGATGAGGCTCGCAGACCCCCAAACCGCTTGGGTTGGAATTTCTGAGCAAACCGCGGGTGCATCTGTTCGGGCCACCCGAGAGTTTGGTTGGTCGAGGGACACCAACATCAACCCCACCACACCACTCCCCGTGAGGCCAACCCAAACGGGTTCTCCGTCGTCCGCCGCAAGAACCGCCCGGCCTTCTTGTGGCCAGGGGGTCTGGTCAGGTCAAAGATCTTCACGGACTGACAAAGCGGCCGCACCAAAACGCCCAGGCCAGAGGGCCTCAATATCATCCTAGAAATCCAATGTATTTTCTCGTTCTTAAAAATGAACAGGGTCTTAGGAATGAACCTGGGGATTCCCTTCAAAGAAGCCACAAGGTACAATATAGGTCATTCCCTTGGGTTCCACTTTGGCCGGCCTTCAAGGGCATGTAGGAGGGCGGGCTCAGGGTGTCTTCTACCCCTGTTGGGCCGTGGGTACAAATCCCGCACCTGAAATCCAACTTGACCCCATGAGTAGCAGTCCGTTTTTACCCCGTCCTTTCTACGGGTAGTGCTCGGAGTGGTGGAATCATCGAAACGCGCTGTGGCAGTCGTATACCATGACTTGGGGGTGCAGTGACTTGGGCTGGTGGAAACGAAATCCTCGTATCGCAATGTCAATACCTATCAATCAATAGCAGTCCTATTCCCCAGTATCCCAGTATCTGCTGTTTGGGTGCTGTTTGGGTTGCTAACAAGCTCCGTCCGTTTTTCCCTGGTCTCTGAAGCAGCTGTTTGAATTGGGGAAAAATCCCCCAAAAAAACAAACGAGCAGCCGGGATCTCCGGCGCACCGCTCCGGGCCTTGTCCAACGACCCCGAGAACAGGGTCGGGTTGGTGGGATGGAAGGCCGTGCAGGTGACACCCTGGATATGATCCTCGCGCGTTGCCGGCGGTGTACTGAACAAATCAGAGCCTTGTTTGATGGTTTGAAGAAACAACTCCAGGAAGCCACATCTGCATACCAAAGTCAAATGTATGTATGCCTGTGTATTGTATATAATTCACACACAAACACATGGCCATGGGTCAAAAGCCCGTACCCCCAGTGAACATCCCAATCCCCACAAAATCGACTAAAATGGGTGGTGCTCCTACCCCAAATGGCACCATTGGCTTTGACCCACAGCCACATCTCGCATTCTTTGAGACTGGTGTTTGCCTTTTTCGGCGCTCCCAACGCTCAGGGAACCCATCTCACGTGCCTGGAGGACGCGCACGATGGGCTTCATCAGCTCCTGCGAAACGGCCCGCGTTGGCCGGGGCTCGCGTCGGCCGCCGCGGCTTGGTACCCCGAGATATCTCCGGTGCGGTGGCGGGGGGACTAGGGACACGCGGGCAAACAGCAGGGAATCGCAGCGGGCGAAAGAAACAGTGGCCAAAGCCTTGGTGAGAGATCCAAACTGAAACCAGGGCCAGCGATTTTCGGCCAAACTCACCCAAGGACACCAATGCTCCGGTTCTTAGTCTAAGGTCCTCTGTGCACTTTGGAGACCCTGCGAGTAGTGCCTTTCTTAACAAAACACCACGAATCCCCACCTTTCGCGGGGGTTAAAGCCTGGCTGGAGCCAAGGGGGAAACTTTTCAAGGCGCGTTTCTTCTTGCAAAGGTCGCCTGCCGTTCTCTGCGCATTCGTCCCCAAAAGCCAGCCAATGTCTCCGGAAGGCCATGCTACTCAGAGGCGGTTCCCCATTTAAATACAGTTTTTGAGGGGGGAAACCAAAAGGCTTCAAACACCATTTTAGGGGTGGGAGTGTAACCAACAGATCCAACCATTTAGTGGGGTCTTGATTCATAGTGGTGATTCCTGGCGGGATGTCGGGACCTGCCTCCTCTGTGACCCGCATGCGCCCCACGGGGCCCTCTGTGCTCGCCGCACAGACCCTCATCCTCGCCTCGAAACGGGTCGAAAATTTCGGGGCGGTGCTCAGAATGGGAATCGGTCCTCTAAAATGGTTGGCTTCCTTTTGGTTTCCCCTTGAGTAGCGACCAATAGGGAAATCCATGAGAAACGCCCACTTTGTTTGGTCTGTGCCTGACGGCGGTTGACTGCTTGGATGCTTGGGCTCCTCCCATTTGACGATCTGCCCGCTGGCATGTGTGTCTTTTGTTGTACCACCTTTTGGTGGGGCTTGAAGGGAACCAAAAGGATGCCAACCAGTTTTGGGACCCCTAGTTTCGAGACGAACCCATGTGCCTAAACCGGCCAACAACAACTTCGTGCTCATTGGCTTGAGGAACACTTCAGTTGACCAACCTTCATGAAGGGTCGTGGCAAAAACTTGCGGCCTCTGCAATTGCTGCCTGAATAAAAAATGAATCCCAAGTAAAGAGCCTGCATCACAGTGAGCTCCTTTTTACTCCCGATGCAGTGAGCCCGCCACAAAATAGGCAAAGCCGATCCCCTCAATCGATTAAATCGGACCTGATCAATCGCGCGTGAGCTTGGGCCGGAGCTGTGTCTAGAATCTTGATGCTTCCATCAGTGCACCCGGTCGCGCCTTGGCAGGCGAAGAACTGCGTGGCATGTGACCCATGGAAGCTGTGGCCAAAGCTATCCCAACAACAAGCACAGCGACAAATCTAATGTTCTTCCTCCTCCTCCTCTCTTCTTCTCTTTTTACTTGCTTCGCCAAGGTAAGATTCGGCAAAAAATGGCATGCGCGAAGGCTCCGTCGGCCCTTGGACGTCACTCAGGCTTCGGCAGAACCGCCCATCCGTCGAGAAGGACACGGAGCGGCAGTGCGACTTGTGGGAGGCGGTGTACAGCAGCCTGCTTGCGCTCTTGAACGCCAGAGGGCTGTTCTTCGAACCCAAGCGGTTGGGCCACAGGGCAAAATAGGGTCCCCCACAAAGGAAACATGCCACAAAGCCAGGCGAGTTGTGTTGACACCGTGGACCTGGAAAGGGGTCCCTTTTTTGGGTTTGGTTTCAGGGCAGACCAAAGGGACTCTCTCACTTTGGAGTCCATCCAGAAACAAACCCACATGCCACACGCAAGGTACCAACAAAAGCACCAGGGGAGTCCGGCCACCAAAAAAGCATGAAGTTTGGGTTGGGGCGAGGCGGGGGGGGGTTAGGATTCTGACAAACGCCGAGGGGCTATGAGATGCAGCAAGAGCTCGTGACCCCCCCGCCTCACTTCCGGTGGCTTTTTGCTCGGATCCGGCGTCTGAGATGTGCCTGGCGGATCGGCCAGTGAACTGGAGCCCAATTTCCGGAACCTCCAAAAAAAGTCACCCTCCAAGTGGGTCTCAAAAAGAATTGATTTGGGTCCACCCCTGAAAGAAGGCAGTGTGTCACAATGTCTGCTTCCACATACATGTGTATATATATATATATATGTATATATATATATATATAATCATCTATACGTATTATATATCATCTATACGTATTATATATATATATATGCTACCCCCCCCCCAGGGACCTACCTTTTGGCTGCCTCTCCATTGCATGAATTGCCCATCTAGGACTGGGAGGAACGATCTCTCAACTAGGACCAGGACCAAATGAGACTAGAACCCAGGATCTCTGAACTGGGACTAGGACCAACTAGGACTAGACGACCCACCTCAGATTCTTACAAAAAATGAACTTCAAGTATAACTTCCTCTGCAATGTCCTGTATATTTTCTACTTGTTGCAGTAAACTAGGGAGCAACCTAACACTAGAACCAAGGATCTCTCATCTAGGATCAAACTAGGACTAGACCATTTAATTCTACTTCTTATAGTATTTGGATGTCAAGTATTACATTCTGGTGGAAAAAAAGGTCCTGTTTAATATTTGGTCCTAACATGTAAATTCTGACTGGATATTCTCCTTATTTCAAATTCAATTGTTCAGCTAGAAGTTGCATAGAACTTGACTAATATATTAACTACAATTCATAACGAACTTCCTTTGTAATGTCCTTTATACGTTCTATGTATTTCAGTAAGCTGGGACCATACTTGGCCTATAACCAAGGATCTCCCAACTAGGACTAGGACCAAACTAGGACTAGCTAGTTCTGAAAGTGATTGAATCTCAATGTACAATGGTCTATTGGACAGAAAATAGTTTGTACCATTTAAATTTAGTTTGACATAAACAGTCAATATTTAAGTTCGAATCTAAATGGCAATTTTGGCTGGAGTATGTCCTTCTTAAGCTCCATTGAATTTCAATCAGAAATAAGGTTGAATTTGATAAAACATACTAAGTGGAATGCATAAGGAAAGAATCCAAAGGTCCCAAGCTTGTGTCTTTCACTAGTCCTAACACTACCTTGGTCAGAAAACACCGTAAAACACAGTGTTGTGTAGCGCTTTTCATACTCAATTCACATCTCCACCAACGAACGCTCTCTAAATGCTCATTTGAACTTGAACAGGATTTAATTGGGACTCAATACGGAAATATTTGGTCAGAATCCTAATGGAAATCAAATTTGAGATTGCGAGTTTAAATAGAGGTCCTTTCCTAATATATACTTGTAATTCAATATGAGATTTAACAGGATTTGATAAGGAAATAACCCATATTCTCTAGACAAGTCTTCTTTGCAAACGCGAGTCCAGGCCCGAGTGAAACCCATTGAGACCGACTGAAATTTCAGTTGAGCCTGGGTTCAAGATTCCCTAGAAAACTTTGACCTGCAATCTTGAATGTGGGCCTAGATTCAGGACTTGGATGCTTGCACAACACTGTGCTAAAGTACAGCCGCGCAAAGTGCAATGTTGAATTTGGGTCTCGATTTAAACCGATTTAAATCGATTTAAGTTTAAATCGGGCACGGATTCAACATTCAAGATTCAAGAATCCAGGCCAAACTTTTCCAGGGATTCTTGAATCCAGGCGTCGATTTAAACCGATTTAAACCGATTTAACTTAAATCGGGCATGGATTCAAGATTCAACGTTCAAGAATCCAGGCCAAACTTTTCCAGGGAGTCTTGAATCTTGAATCTTGAATCCATGCCCGATTTAAGTTAAATCGGTTTAAATCGGTTTAAATCGACGCCGGGATTCAAGAATCCCTGGAAAAGTTTGGCCTGGATTCTTGAATCTTGAATGTTGAATCCGTGCCCGATTTAAATTAAATCGGTTTAATCGTTTCAATCAAGCCTGAAGCTTCCAGAACGTCCTTGGACATGCTTCTTTTTCATTGCTCTCCCCAAAGCCCAAAAAAGGGTAGAAAACACTGCAAATACCAGTGAATTCATCAAAGAGGTAGGTCCCTGGGGGGGGGGGTACCATATATATATATATACCTGTTTATGTTTACCTCAGCGCCTGGTCCCTCGCCCTCCCAGGACCCACCTTTCAGTTTGCTCGCATACTTTGTGCAATGTGCATGGGCCTTGTACAAAGACGCTGTAAACATCGGCATGTTTGAGCATGCTGTCGGCAGGGCTAAATCGCAACATGCACATGGTGAAAGCTCAAAGCTCTGAAACTTGCGCAGAAGCAACAAAATGCATGACAGTGTGGTCCGGGTTGTCTGCAGTTGTGAGACTTTTAACTGTGTGTGTGTGTTGCTTGTCTCTATGCATGCTTTAGAGTGTTCCTAGGTGATTGATTCGCAGGCGATGCGTTAGTTGGTATACATGCTCGACATTTTCCAACGAGTCTGATGTAAAAGCTGCTGCAGAAGATGATGCTATCACACAAAGAAGTGCCATATCTTGTTGTTATCATTGTTTTTGTTGCTTTGTTTTATGTTTCTCGCAGTACTGGAAGGTTGGCCCTTTGGGAAGAAGTGCGCGTGAGCATGTATGTACCATTGTGTGTGTGTGTGTGTGTCATTAATGTCATCTGCAAACGTCACAAATCCAAATCCTCAGATAAGGAATCCTCAAAAAATGCAACCTTCATCATGGGGAAGCTCGAGCTCACTTTGGCACCCGCTGCTTGTCGCGCTGAGTTCTGCAGATCGCATATAGACTCCAAAGACTGCAGTCCTACAAACATGAATTCCGAAAGTTCACGCCCTTTCTGGGATCAGGTTTAAAGCAAAGGATGCCGCATCTTTCTAAGAGCCATCCGCAAACCCTATGAAGGAATCCCCAAATCTCATCAATGCAACTGCAGCTTCCCTCCCGAACACAAAAAATCCGCTTGCGGATGGTGTCTGCTTTTTTGAGGCTGGACACCAAGAAACCATAATAAACCGGCCGTTTTAGGGTGTGCCCCTATTTTGACACATACCCATTTGTTTGTGCCTCACGAAGCTTGACAATTTACCGGCTGTGTGGGTCTGCCTTTTTGTAGTGGACCCCCGAACGAAAAGACAAAAATGGTGGTTTCCCTTTTGGCTTCCTTTCAAAACACCACCCCAAAAAACGGGCACTCGCCCCAAACCAAAATCATGTCTCCAAAAAAGACCGGACCCCCCAGCTACCATTCGCCTCAAAAAACAAGACGAGCCACAGCCACGCGCCCAGCGCCCTCAGCTCTCGCCTGTGGGGATAGGCATGCCCTCCAAGTCCAGCACTCGCTCCTCTTTGCCCAGCGGGGGCACCTGGGGCGTGTGGCACGTTGCGCAACCGGGCGAAACGGTTCGGTGGACACATGTGAGGTCGACGTTGGCCTGGTTTACTTCAAGAAATCGGTTGTACGAAAGAGCCTCTAAAGCCTTTGAGGAGGTTGGGTCTGGGCATTTTGCCAGTTGGATGGACGGGTAGGGTCGACTTTGGCCCAACTTGTTCTTTAGGAAATTGGCTTTACAAAAACGATAAAACACTGGACAAAAACCAGGGCCCGGCGAGCGTCCCGTTCTGTTTACAAAATAGCCTCCAAAGTCTTTGAGGAGGTTGGGTCTGGCCATTTTGCCGGTTCTTTTTCGAGGGGGGAAGTCAAGCCTGCAAGATTGCCAGGTGTCCATGGCAGCCCAAGATGTCCAACTTTGGTTGCCAGAACTGACATCTTGGGGACAACGTTGTCGCTTCAAAATAGGCTGGGTATATAATAATTACCCCCCCCCCCTCATCGGGGTATTTGCAGTGCCAAACCGTGAACACAGGTGCGAGGGTCTAAGTTTTTAAGAGTCTAAGATGGTTTACTCTTCCCCAAAACCACTGCCCCCATGGGTTGAATAGGTATACCTTGTGGATAAGTTGCTCTATCCTGTTTTGACGGGGTCGCCTAATATCTTTATGCTGCCTGTATGTTCTTTCAATGTTACTCCTATTGTCTTTAACAGTTGCTCTTAATGTCTCTATGTTGCTCTTATTTGATCCCAATGTTTGCCAGTATACATACAGCCACGTTAAAAGTATCAGAATGTTCCTTCGTTGACGCTCGGAACCCTTTTGGGCTGGCGTGTAAAGACAAACCAAAGGAAACCGAAACCCCATCTTGTGGTTTCCCCTTTTTGGAGCACCCCCGACATAAACCCTGCTTACCCTGTTTTGTAAAGCCACTGCCCCCTTCACCAAAAATACAAAGCCACCTACCAAAAAGGCCACACCTGGCACCAAAACCGAGGCACCGGGGTGCAGTGCAGCGGCTGCCACTCGCCCTGTGGCTCATCGCCAAAGGCCCACTTCAGGCCTCGAAGCGGTGAGCTGTTCCACTGGTTGCTTGGGTTTAATGGGGTACCGAGTACTTGTTGTTGCTATTTGATTTCTCTGGGGGGGACCCTTCTGTTTGGAGGGTGCTTGCTTTTGTCTTTTTCGCGGGGGTGGCTTTAAACGGAAACTCTCAGGTGGTGTCCCCAAAGCCCAAGGAACCTCTGCGAAAGCTCCGAATCACCCAGCTTTTCTCTGGGCAGAGACCCCAAAGCAGCTCTTGGGAATCAACAAGTTACGCTTTCTCAGAGTCAGCTTCACCTCTAATTGGTGCCTTGGGAAGGTGGTGTCCTTCTTTGTGAGGGAAGCTATTTTGTTCAGAGTTTCTTTTATGGGAAACTACATGGAAACCACCCTCCAATTGGTTGGTTGAGTGGGTGGGACGTTGGGTGGGACGTTGGGGTTACCTTCCCCATTTGTCTTTAAAAAAACTCGCGTTGAAATTCCCAAGCCAGCAATCCAAGCTACCGACTAGCTCTCTTTGGGTTTGACCATTCTTAGTGGCTTCCGAAGCCACAAAACTTAAACAGGGAAAGATGGGTGCCACTGAACAACGGGAAAATATTCGACATGTATAGAACCAAAAAGTCTCATGCGTTCTCCGTTGGGTCTACAAACGGGGAATCTCACCCTCAAAAAAAGGGCATACAGTGTACCTTTTATTCAAGCCTTGTGAGCTGGTCAAAAGGAAAATGGACAACACACGCCTGCAAATAAAACAAACAAACAAACAAACAAACACACAGAGATACACCCACAGATGTCATATGGCCGTTTCTCTGCACTGACCGATCCCTTCAGCTTTCCTTTCTCTAGCCCAAAAGAAGACCAGAAGGCGGCCTGGGGCCCGGGCTCGTGGTATACACGTCCAGCAGCGCATCCTGCGCGCGCAAACTCAGACGTGAGCGGCGCGCACCAAGGGGGTGGGGGGATCCGGGTGTTTCTCAGAATCCTGGGTCAAATAGGCCCCAAAATCAGGGTTCCTGATACGTAATTATATATCACATATATACTCGCACAGATTGCTTTTTATTTTGCTTCTCCAACGAGTGGTCCGTACACAATCTCAGTCCATGCACCAATCTGTGTAACATAGGTGAGAATGAATGTGTCGGGCCTGTGTCTACTCACAAAACGCACTTGAGTCACAATCAAAACCTGGCACAAAAATGGCAAACCCAGAACCATGTAAAGAATTAGAAAGGCGGCCGCAACTATTTCCGGCTAGGACTGCCCCTTTTGATTGTGGCTCACTAAAGGTACGATTACCAGTACCTGACTAGTTCGGCAGATCACTGCCAACAGGTCTCTGTGCCTTGCGGCGTCTCTCCAAATGCAAAAAGCTTCGATTCTGAGAACACAAAGCTGCTCGAATCAGGGGAGGTGTGCAACCAAAGAACATCACCACTCTAAAGGAACATCAACCACCATTGCCAACGAAAGGGTAAAAAAGAAGAATAACTTAAAATGGAGAACCTCTCCAAATGCTGCCTTTCTTTAGGAATCCCCAATAAAAAACGGTCTTAAAGCCACCCAAGAAGGGAACCGACTCCAGAACAGACAGAGCCACCCCAAATGCGGTTGCTCGGCCGGGCCTTCTCCACCCGGTTGTTGGGATGGAGGTGCAGCTGCGACGTCAGCGCCGCAACCTCGACAGGTTTTCCCCTTCCTCGATGCGGGGCGTCCATCGATTTCCGAGAGACCCCCTGACGTTATGCGAAAACGACCCCCTGACGAAGCCAAAAGGCATTCGCTGGACTTGCGGTGTTGAACATCGTTCGAAGTAGTCAACTTGGAAACACGATGGTACACGTTGAAATGTTTGGACAAGTTACCCCAGGAAACCCGTTGAACGATGGTACCCAATGAAAACTTGTTTTGTTCAAATGTACCCCAGGAACAGGCTGGCAGCTGGAGTAAGTGCTCTCCGGCTGCAGGTCTGCCACGGTCCCGATGCAGCCGGGTGGCGGCTTGAAGCAAATCGAACTATGCCAACACAGTGTGAGCCCAACCATGCTTGACTCGCAACATCTACCACCTACCCTCGCACTCACTAATGATGGAACCCAGCAAAAAGCCCCGTTTAGAGCATGAACTTCCAGGACCCGCAGTCAAGTTCCAAATCCGTGGGTGGGATGGTACCATTGGAAGATGGCTGTGAAACGCCAACATCTTGCTCAAGCAGGCAACTTTGGGTATGAGTGATCATTGAGGGACCCCCTTTTGGGGGACATCAAAATTACGTCGTGTTTTGTCGTCCATCAGGCAAGCGGGCCAAACAAAAACTGACCGCCCCGGTGTCAAACGCCAGAATTCCGCGAGCGCAAGAATCAACTGAAGCGACCCCTCGAGCGTGCCTCAGCCTCAAACCCGTCATCCTGACGCGCCACTCAGTGCAGTGACCAGTTGCTGGTTTGGTGGTTTGGTTTGGTGCGTTGTGACACCCTAGTTGGTACCTTCCATATTTGGCTTCAAAGGCCGCAGGATGGCCGTGGCTTGTGATGGCCAATGGAACCTCCGCCATTTGGTTTCAGCGCAGAGCTCCAAAGGGAATCATCAAACAGGGCATTGCGGGTCTTGGACAAGCCCTAGCTCTTCCATGTTCTTCCCTTCCGCTACCAAAAAAAAGGCTCCCTGAGTTGCCAGGTCGCAACTATAAACTTCTGTGCCGAAGTGCCCCCCCCCCCCCACACGCTTACCGCCGCTGGTCGCCAAAACCCTTGCTTGGCTCCTCCCTTCACCGTGCCCAGCTTGATCTGCCCCGGGCGTCTGCGCTCCACAGTTCTTCGGACTGACGCGACTCCTGGGACTCCGCTCGCGGCTTTCAGTGTGCCCTTTGGAATTTGCGCTGGCGGCAATGTCTGCACTCATCTCGTTACATGTCCATCTCCGCGCATTCCTCGCCATGTGCTTTGTCTCCGGACACATGTCCCGCGTTGCTGCGGCGGGGAGCAGGGACACAACTGGACATTTCGAAGTTGAGCCTGCTCTGGAAAAAATAGCATGATAGTACAGTGTAAACAACCTATGGCCTCAATGAACATTGTCCTATCTTTCAATCAAGCACCGCGCAGACCTTCTCGTCGTACGCCCCTCGGGGCTGATGTCCGTCTTGGCCTGCCCAAAAAGTGGCACTCCAACTGTTTTCACTACTCGGAAAAGCTTGAATGGTTAAACCATCCTTCCCAGATCCCTTCATGGGCGCCGAGGACAACAACGCAGCGCCGTCTCGTGGGTACGTCCAGCCGCCTCCAGAATAGTCACTGGTAAAACTCAGAGCGGTGATGTGACACGTGATCGATCGCTTGTCCTCGCTGACGGCAAAGGCGCCTTGCGCAGTCAAGAGAGTTCCCGGGCTCGCCGTCGCCCATCATACACTCCTCGGGGCTGTAGAGGTACCTGGATGTGGAGATGAATGTGCCCGATCGGCAGAAAGTAATCTGACATGTGGCCATGGGTCAAAATCCCGAACCCCGAGTGAACATCCCAATCCCCACTACAATAGACTAAAATGGGTGGTGCACCTACCCCAAAATGTTACCATTGGTTTTGACCCACAGCCATGTCTCTTTGCAAGGCCGTCTGCTTCAGTGTTCCTCTCGTCCATGTCCAGCAGCCGCAAGGTTGAACCAAGGGCGCCGGCACGAGAACCGCAGCTAAGGCAAGCTGACTCGCTCAGAAAATCATCCACTCTAGGAACCAACTCAATGGGTTATGCCAACCCTTTATGGTGAGTCATTGATAATATGATCGGAAGGAACAATTTGCTCTAAGTCGCACATGATGCCGACTGATACTGTGGTGAAGAGACATGTTTTACGGCGGGGTGCTCCGCAGTCAAAACATCCGCGGCGACAGGCTGGCTTCGGCCATCTGCCATGGGACTGCAGCAAACATGATGCTGGGCGGAGGTGCTTTCTTCCACGTTGCGCGCAAGCCGCGCTTTTGCTGTTGCTGGGACCCATGACCCATGACTGCGGCTTACAGGAGAACCATCGGACTGAAACTTTGCCACAGCAACGCCACTAGATGCTACTGGCTCAGCCAAGCTTCGCTCACTTGGGTGTGTCTAATTTAGGGGACCCCCCAATCTGGTCTCGGTGATCCATCCGGTGTCCCCATAAAAACCACCCCAGAACGGGTATCAAACATAGGTGTGCTTTGAGGGGAAATAGATGGCCCTGGTGGATTATTCCACCACCAGGTTCACCAGGGCCATCTATTTGTTTACCAAAACAAGCAAAATGGACACCTATGCCATCAACTCCAAACCCGCGTGGTGCGTTTCTCCGAAGAGTCGCCCGCGCCTGCAACTGGCGAAGCAGCAGCTCGTAGAGGGCCACTTTCTGCGCTGAGAAGTGCCCTGCGATCCAACGGATTCGTCGGGTGGTCCGAACTTCGGGCGCCCACAGTGCCGCCGTTTCCTGCGAGACCAAAACGGAGCCCAGGTTTTTCGGACAAACTCTCAAGGTGCTGCCTGTGTGCCAGACCCTTTAGACCCAACACCCTCTAAAAACCAGTCACTGCTGCTGAAAAGGGGGTATCATTCCCCGACCAGAGTCTCACTTTTTGGAGGGGGTCCAAAAAAGGAAACCATTATTCTTGTCCACTGACTGAAGTCCTGGAAATGGGCTTCTTTTAAGCTCCTATGAGGTTCCTCTAGGTCTCCTACAGGTTTCGTTTCCTCCGAGCCCCCATGGGTTTCGTTTCATGGGTGAGCAGAAGATGCCTTTCCTCCGAGAGGTTTGTGGTTCGCGCCTGCTTCTGGCACACCCATGGGTGCGTCAGCATTCGGCAGAGCTGGGGTCCTGACCACCCGGATCCTCTGGCGGCTAATGTTGACCCTATTAATCAACCCCAGTTTATTAATAGGGGGGTGTTCCCCTCCAAAAGTGTTAATAAACAGGGGTTTGTTGATAGGGGGTGTTCATTACCCTTGCAATCGGCAACCGCCTTGGCCAACGCTTTGGACGGACCCTCGAACCTCCCTTACTGGGAGCATCGGCCAATTTGCGGACGATATCAGGCCAGCAAGATCGCGGGCCCATTGGCGAGCGCGGCGGATTCCCGAAAATCGAAACCCAAGATGGGGGCATGTGAAAAATAACAGGCGATTCACAGCCGGGTATGTCTTGGTTTAGAGAATCAATTGCCCTTCCAACAATCATGGAAGCTGACAGGGGATTTTATAACATGACATTTCACTTGGGGGACGCCCCCGGAACCCAGTTCCATGATTGTTGCAAAGAGAGTCCAAAACGTCCAACCCCTTGGCATCACGCAGAAACACAGGCGGGCAGCACCCCTCCACCATGCCGGCAAAGAAAAGCAAAGCGCGCGCAGAGATGAGTGGTGTCTTCTTGGCTCTTTGCTGCGACGAATGGCTCATGCCGATCACGCCGATCTCTCAAGCTGATCCCGCTACATGCCTTCATAAGTGGTGGGTGGTGCCTTCGGGGCTCTTTGCGAATGGCTCTTTGCGATCTCTGAAGCTGACCCAAGCCGCATGTCTCAGGTTCTCCACATCGCGTGCCCGAAGCTTGAGCCGCGGGTTCGAGGTCGAGCGAGCGCCGGGATCGAAAACCACCCGGCCCTGGCTGGTGGCTTGAAGACGCGCCCTATTTTCCAGATAGAGTGCGCAATGATGATGGGAATCATGGGATTTCGCTTGCATGCTTGGTTGGTCACTGGGTTTTCCAGGTTGGGGTGGACAGAACAACCAATTGGTGATCTCCACCGCCGGTCCTGTGACTACTGGCGCAACTTATTTGATTTGTCGGTTTTCCATCAGACAGAACTATTTCTGTAGAACCAAAGGGTCAGCTCCCCACAAATCTGCTCGCCCTCGGTTCTGTGAGCGTTTTTCGTGGGGCCAGCGCCCGCACGCTGGCGCACCAGGGGAAAGTAGTACATGGCGCAAAACTCTCGCTTTCGGTTCACCCCCCTGGTAACCAAGGGATTCTAACAACAGTCACAAGTAGAAAGGTAAGAGTCCGAGAACTTGTGTTGCGTTTTCCTGTGCACCTTCCAAGCCACGGCACTGGCCAGAGGGTGTCGCGAAAAGGCTTCTTGGCTAAAGACAGGGAATATGCAGTAGTTGTTTATGAGATACATAGTTGGTACAGTTGGTTCTCGCGTTTTTTGTTACCCGGAAAGCGATGGAGTGGTTTCCGTAGTTCGACGGGATCGAGGGTCCCACCCATCCTCACTCGAGCGCCTTTTCAATCATAGCCTGCCTTGCTGCAGCTGCAGCTTCGCCACGAGCTTCTCTGCCTGACGACTCGCAGTCGATGCGCTTGGCACCGAGCGGGTAAGACATGCCCTGGTTGAAACTTGGTATGGAAGCTGAGAAAAACGGTCAGCCAGAAGAGATTTGTCTTTTTGGAAGGTGTATGGTTTTGGGAGGTTCTATGGTGACTTCAGGGCAACCATATCTGCATGTTGAAAACAACGAGCCAGCCGGCTCTCAAAGACGCGACTACCGCTCGCTCCCTCTCCGTCTGAGATTTCCCGGCCGTGGAGGCGACGCTGGCGGCGAAGACGAGGCTAGAGACGACCCCGGCTTCCGGGGAGCTGCGTCCCGGGAGCCGCGACGTCAACGCCACCGAGCCCCCGGAGGCGGAGGCGAAGTCGATCAGCAGCCGCAGGTACCTTCGCAAAAAGCGGGACATCAAGGAACCCTCAGGGTTCCTTGAAGAGAATTCGCCCAAGAAGCTGAGTGGAGTTTGTCTTTTTTGGGAGTCTTGTCCCCTCCCCCCAAAAAAAAATAAAATAACCGTGGTGTCCCCTTCAACGCCACCAAAAAAAGCGTGGTACTATATGCCTGGTTGACGTTGGAAGGGGAGCAACCATTTTTAAAGTTTAGCACTTAAGTGGTGAAATGTCAACCACTAAACCACAAGAAGCAAACAGCTGAAAAATGTTGCCCAACCCCATGAACCCCATGGGTCAAAAATAGGTAGCCAAGCCTGTTAAATGAAACCAACAAATAAAACCTGCGGTCCAACTCCTGGTGGCTTAATCTTGACCCATATACAGCGCCACTTCGGCCCATGGTGCTGGCTGACCACCTGCAGCCGGGGGATCCCCGCCACCGGGTTGGTGGGGTTCTGGTTGCCCTCCAGGTCCGCCGCGGCGGTGAGCAAGGTCATGTGCAGGCACAACAAGTGCAGAGACACCTCCACGATGAGCAGCAAGTGCCTGAAAAGAAAAACCTAGAAGTGCGGGTCAAGCCAAAGAGTGTGAGTTAAGTTAGATCCTGAGTATCTGTTTGTTGCTTTCGTTGTTTCTTCTTTTTATTTTTTTGTTGGTTTCTCTGGCGATGCAACCCCCTTTTGTTTAAATGGGCAGATTAGTGCCATGAAAAAGGATAAGGGCAGTTTGACGATCAGCTTTGTTTCTTGGTTTTCCCTTTTTTTCTGACGATTCGACCCGCTTTTTGTTTAAATGGGCAGATACGGGCAGTTCAAGCCATCCTTGGTTGGGCAATTCAAATTCAACTCATGGGCTAAATAGTTTCAGTCGTTGGACCGGTGCCTGAAGAAGAAGAAAAAAAAAAGGGCCTGGCTCATACGCAGATCTAGCTGAAAAAAACCATCCCATAAGGTTGGGTCATTTGAGGGCGCAGGGAACCGACCTCCTCTTGATGTTTTGCCAGGGGGACCGAAGCTCGTCTGGTGAAAAAAACTTTGTCGCCCTCGCCGAAATTGGGATGTGGTCGTGGGAAGCCAAAAAGGAAACCGCTAGTCCAGTTTCAGGGTTCCAAAGAGAAACCACCAAAAATAATTGTATTGGGGTGCTTCTCAAGATGATGGACCTTCTCCAATTTAAAGAGACACCAAAAGGAACCGAAGCCCTTTTTTAGGGCACCGATTCCTATTGTTGAGAAACTCCTTTTTGCAATTTAAGGGGAAACCAGGAGGAAACCCGAAGCCATTTGGGGGTTTGTTGAAAAGAGACACACCCAAATTAGCACAGAGCCCCCCCAAGCAAAAGATGCAGCCTATCCACCTTTGAAGGACAACTCCTTTTTGGCGATCTCTTGGAGGAAACTCAAGGGAAAATCGCAATTTGGGGTCTCCTTTCGGGATTTTGCTGTGGTCGTTTCCCCCCACCTGAAATGGGGGGGTCATTTCAGGTGGGTCCATTCAGACAAGGAACCTACCTGAAAAACCCCCCACAGCCATTTCGGGGCCGGCCCAAGTCCCAGTCCAAATTTCGCCGCCAGCGGCCATTTCGCCACCGCCCAAAACCCGGAAAAACCCGACCCAAACCGCCCAAACCGCCCAAACCGCCCAAACCGCCACCGCCCCACACCCCCCCAACCGCCCAAACCCGCCCGCCCCCGACCGCCCAAAACCCCACCGCCCCTCGCCTGAAGGTCGGCCCGGAGGACTTGAAGTGCAGCTCGTGGCCCTTGGCCTCCGTGGCTTTGAGCTCCTCGCCGAAGCGCAGCTCCAGCAGCGCCGCGCAGGCGTGCACGAAGACCGCGCACCTGGCGGCGTTCGCTCGGCGCCAGCAACCCCGGAAAAAACCGGGAAAAACCTGGAGCTCCGGTGGCGGCTTGGACCCGCCCCCCTGGGAAAAATAGAAGAAGAGTGATGGATTGGTTCCCTGTAAAAAGCCAACTGGGGAAAATGAGAATATATGCTTAAGCGCATGGAAGTGGGGAAAATAGGAGGAAACCGGGGTAAATCTAGGGTAAGCCTTGAGCAATTGATGGCGATTCAGTTTATGTGAGGACAAGACCTGAGGTAAACCTGGCCTGAGTGATGTTTATTCCATTTGTTGCGTTGTTTATGTTTCCTTAACCTCGGTTCAGTCAAGGACAAACACATGCAAGATGTTGCCAACCGTCCCAAGGCACAGCACCCCGGACCTCAGCCGCGCTTCCGAGACGATGCCTTGGGACACCAGCGCCAGTCTGTCCGACGGCACTGGGGCGGATGGCACGGAGGGGAGGACCTGCTGAAACGGAGAGACCTGAAGCCGCGGGCCTTGCGGGCCTTGGTTCACGAAGGACTTGATCTGCCGGGTGAGGCTGTCGTATCTCCAGCCCTGCAGCACGTTGGAGCAGATCTTCAGCTTGGTGGGCGCGGACGGGTACATGGCCTCTGGCAGCTGTGTGGCCCCGTCCGACATCTCATTCCTCGCTTGCTTTCTGCTCCCCTGCTCAAAGTGTCTCATTCTTGGTCGTTCAATACAGAAAACCCACTCATTCGTTGGCCAAAAAAAGACAAAGTCCCAAGTTCCCTTGGCAAAATGAACCCCCTTGGCTGGCAAAAAAAAAGCAAAAGCGTTCAAGTCCCTAACATCCCTTGGCCCAAAATTTGCCCCCAAGAGTCTGGTCCGGCACGTAGGCGCTGGCCACCTGCATCAGCAAGCTCGGCAGCGCCGGGTGCACCACCGGCTCCAGCTGCTGCAGCCGGGCGTAGAAGGGGTCGTTGAGGCTGCCGCCCTTCAGCCGCCCCGCCACCGCCGCGTGGAGGAGCCACCTCGAAAAAGGCCGAGCAGAGCCCCAAGAAGCGGAAGCTGAACTAAAGACTTTTTTGCTCCTTGCACTGTTTGGGGTCACCTCACTAAACCAAAGGTGAAGCCACCGAACACAAGAGTGTAAAGTTCCCACGGCGGGTGAGCCACCAAAGCTCCACAAAGAGCGACACGCAGCGGTAGCAGAGTGCCACACCCTCCGGCCCGTCACTCTCGGAGACGCCGGTGGGAATCCGCGACATGCCCAGGCCGTCCACGCAGTCGGTGTCTTCAACAGTCCTGCAAAGCCGTGGAGAAGAGCGGAACTGACTGTGAAGCATGTTATATTGCGGCCTTTCCGATGACTTCCACGCATCACGTTCCCAAAGCAAGTCATTGGGGTGTGATGAGTGGACATCATGGCAATATTATGTCCAACACCCATTTCGCAGGTGTCCCAACCCTTCAGCTTTCCAGCCAGGGCATCGTTGCTTGGTTGATTTTATAGGAAAACGCAAGCAAAACCACCATGTGGCGGGGCTCAAATCTGTATTTTGACACATACCTTACTGGCGCGTCCTGCAGTGGAGGAGCATGGCATCCATCCCCGTCTTGCCAGCGGAGCCGCCGCTCCGCGCCATCAACGCCGACACCACCTGGCGACTTTCGAGCAAAAGGCGCAACTTTGTGCGGGTGAGTGGGACAATGGCCCCAACTTTGGTTTATCAAAGTGCTTGCGGGGCCCGTGGGTTTGTGGGGTGGGGCCCAGTAGGTGGCGGGTTTTCCAACCAACAAAATCTGAAAGCTCCAAGATCCCAACCGAGCCGCAGCGGAGGGCCCCGTGCCGGTGCCCACCGTGGGTCCGAGCACTTGGTTCCGGGGCTCCGCGGACATGGCCACGGGCAAGCGCGTCACCCACTGCAGGATGTCCAGCAACGGCTGCAGCTGCTTCTCCAACCACTGCAGGATGCTCCTGACAGTCAAGCCAAACCAAGAGTCGAATTTGTGTATGGGGGCCTTTGCTCCAAACAAAAACAACAACTAACTACTCCAACAAAGAGCCGAACCTGGTTTCGGCCTTTACACAAAAACATAAAACCACTGCCAGCAAAACAAAAAGTGTGGAGTTTGGCAGCTGAAGAGGTAAGGCTCTGCAGCACCAGGTTGTGCGTGGGCAGAGTTCCCAAGACTGAAACCAGGACTTGCAGCACGGAGACCAAAGCGGCCGGGTGCGTGGTTTCCAGCGCGTGCAAGCCAGCAGGGGCCAGCCGCAGCTTCGCCTGCATCATCTCCGGACGCAAAATCGCATAGAGGCCTAGCCACGCAGCGAGAAGCGAACATGGAAGGGTGTCATCCACGCGTGTTTCAGTCGATTCCGGGCCATGTAGTGGGCTCCCCAACTCCAACCCCACCCCAACATCCTACTCAACCAAAACCCCCAACATCCTACCCCCAACATCCTACCCCACCCTCCACCGCCCCCCACCCCCCCCGCCCAACCCCCCACCCCCACCTACCCCCAACATCCTACCCCCAGCGCCCCCCCAACCCCCCCCCCCCCGCCCAACCCCCCACCCCCACCTACCCCCAACATCCTACCCCCAGCGCCCCCCCAAACCCCCCCGCCCAAACCCCCCCCCGCCCAACGCCCCAACCACTCCCAAACCCCCCACCCACGGCATCCCGCGCACGGCATCCCACCGCCCCCCCCGCGGCGCCTGCCGCCTCGAAGAAGGCGCTCGCGGCCTCCGGCGCTTGGCACAGCGCCGCCGCCAGCGCCGCCGCGCTGCCCACGGCCCCCGAGACGCCGCCTCCGGAGGTCGGCGGAGGTCTCCGGGCGGAGGTGGGGGTCCTTTGGGTATGTCTTTCTGTGGAACCCCCCTGTTGGTTGGCTTTCTAAAGGAAATTAAAAGGTAACTCCGTGATTTTGGGGGCCAGCTAAATGGTGTGGATGGTTGATTGCGACATCCATTTCGCACCACCTGAGAAACCATGGTTGAAGCCACAAAGTTGTTAGGTAATTAGAGGGAAATCATTCCAGGGTTTCTTGAGGCATCAACCACACCACTCCTCTGTTCAGGCATCATGGGCTTTATTGTGCTTTTTTTTTCAGGGCTTCCTCTTGGCACCAGCGTTTCAATGGTATCAAAAGTACGAAGGGCCTGGCGTTTTTGAGGCTTCTCAGCAAATGAGGAAATGACCACGAGAAACCATGCGATGGTTTCCTTGAAAATCCCTAGGTTCAGTTCCAACACCCTGGTGTCATACCCTACTGAGCTCCAAAGAATGGCCAAACCGTTCTCCTTTTCTTTTGGTTCTGGACAAGCCAGAAAACAAAGGATACCCTCAAACAAACACTCACCCATATGGGGTCACGATTTTGAGGCTTCCCTTTGATCAGTTTTATGATAGCATCAACATATCAAGTCAAATGGACAATATGAATGACATGAAGCAAAGTCTCTGCGGTTACCACAGTCAGAAACTGTGGGACGTGTCCCTTTGACCTACCACTTGACGCCTGGCAGGGTGACTTTGATGATGGTAGAATACTAAGGTCAGCTCGTACACTGGTCGTTCGGAACTATTTCACATGGCTTGTCTGAAGCTTTTTGTTATCAGGGGGATTCTTAGTTGCAGCCAAGTAGTTACCAGCAGTGGCCACCTAAGCCGTGTCAACCATGGCTCACATGAGCGCATGACCATGCTATTGGGAGTCTACCGCCGGTTTGGCCGGGGGGGGGTAGTTGATTTCAAATCGGCGGCCCAACCATTTGGTCCCAACTTCTCACACGTCAATGTGCCAGTGGCTTGCATTGGAATCTCGACCATTTGGTCGTAACACATCAATTTCCCCCGAGCTTTTCCGCGGCGGCCTCCGCCCGCGGCCGTTCCCACGGCCGGCTCGGTCCGGGCGAGGATTTCCGCGAGGTGCTGCCAAAGCTGGCCGGAAAAGACCTGCCGGGCCCTGTCAATGAATTCGTTGCTCCTTGCCCCATGTCCCAAGCCCCCCACCCCACCCCCGCCCCACCAAAAAGACATGGAACAGAAGAAAAAAAATCAACAAATGCTTCTTCTTTGCTCCGCTTGTTTGTTCCAGACACGCCCATGTTCAGCTGGATCTCAAAGTGCAGTGGGGATTGCAAGGTTCCGCCAGTTTCCCTCCAGCGGTTCATCTGGGAAAATTGGCTGGGGTGTACCCAGCCGTGCTATCAAGGACGAGAATCATGGGGCGCGCAAGGAAACGTGGAACAAATGAGAGGAAGGGAACTCTGGCGATGAGGGAACTTGCTTCGCGCCGGAACGACAACTGGAAGTGAAGTGAGAAAATTCGTGACAGGGAAGGGCCTTGTTGGCCGACTTTGAATAGATGAAATATGTATATCGTCGGCCACTTTCCGGTGGGCAGGTCACAATTGTAACCCAAGAAAGGTGGAAATGCCTCCAAGAAAGAATCTGAGTAGCTTCCCTCCAAAAAAACAACAGGACGAAAGAACTTCCTCCAAAAGAAGCAGGGAAAACGGATTGTCTTCCCTCCTCCAAACAAAAAAAGCACCACAGCACTTTCCCACTTCCAACAAAACGGCCTCAGCCTAACTCCCTCGGCATCCGTCCAAAACCCCGCGCGCTTTCCGCGCGCCTTGCTGCGCTGCCGGGCGGGGACCCGCGTCACCAGGGCGCACATCAGCGGCAAGGCCACGGACTCCGAGCGCTCCACCTGCGGAGAGCGACGAAGCTCGCTCGAGTCTCGGGTCGCGAGTCTGGAGGGGGGTGGAAGGGCGACCGTGATTGGTTTTAGGGTGAAGTGGACAGTGCGGAATTCTGGAGCCTTGGGAATTCTTAAGAAGCAACGGATCAGGTGTACTTCAACTTCATAGAGGTGGGGGTCCTATCATTGCTGCCACTTTTGAAGGTCATAAGGAATTCAGGGATCCTTGGTATGTTGTTGTTTGTTTTGTTCGAAAATCGGATCCCTGCAAGTTGCCGGTTTCCAATATAGGTTTTCATGACACTCCGAGAATCGTTTTGCCAGTTGCCTTTTGCTTGTTGGCCTTGCACGTTCACGTGGCATGTGCGAGAAATTGGCATGTGCCAACACTCAAAGCTAGTGAGTATCTTGAGCTTTGGGACATGCAACCAAGCATTTGCCTGGCTCCCTGGTGTTGACACAAGTCTTGCACCGGGCAAAGCGACAAACAGTTGCAGGTGTTGCAAAACACATTGCTCGAAATGTATGCAAGGCTGTGCACAACAAGGTGTAGGCTTGACCTTTATGCGGCATTCCTTTTTCAACAGAATGGGCTTCTATCCCAACCTGGGCACGAGAGCACTCTCTCCAGAGGCTGCACTGAACACCCCCAAACCTTCCAAAAATCACATCATCACACTATCCAACAAACTCGTTGCAAGCCTAACATGTACGCCTCTAAGACTCGCCAGCCGAGGGCCAGCCGAGGGCAATGGCCGGACTCCGTAAATGAAAGCACAGCCTCGGTGGGATCTTTGTGGCAGTTTTCTGGGGGCCGCATGGTGACCAAGAGCCTGCCAAAGTCAAGCCTCTCGACATGGCGCTTGGCCCATCCCCTTCTTTCTGGAACCCAGCCCAGAGACTTAAGGGATTGAGCGGCCCAGCTGGCAGCTGATAGGCGGGTTCCCGCACCTCCGCAACAGCGGCGGCCATCAGCGACGTCAGCAGCTTGGACAGATCTTGGAGGTCCTGGCAGCCCAGGACCAACTCAACTCACCAAACTCGTCACTCAACATGAGCCACAATCAAAACCAGGTATGAAAAATGGTCTACCCAGAACCATGCAAAGAATTAAAAAGTCGGCCGCAACTAGTTTATCTACCCGGGTTTTGATTGTGGCTCACGTCCGCTTTAGAGTCCCAACATGTCCCGTCTAAAACAGCGCTTTGGAGCGGTTTCGAAGAGCCAATTTCGGACTCCACTCCAACTACGGAGTTTGTGTTTGATTGACACTCGGCACCCTTTTTGGGGTTCATTGAAATCCGGAGATTCAATAAACCAACCACCCCCTGTGTTTAGGGGGGCTTCCCCTATTTCGAGGCCAGCCAAAAGCTGAGTCCGTTTCCCTTCTCAACGGGAGCGCCCGCCGTTTTCGGCCGCGCCTTCTCGTCCAACTCCGAGGGCTGAAGCCCTTGAGAGGCTTCGTAGGCCTCGGGGCATCGGAGGTCCGACTCGCATGGAGTGGTCGCCTTACCCCACCCTGAAAAAAGGACCAAAGTGGTTTAGGGCAACGGACCTAAAAAGGACGTGCTTTTTTCCGGGGCTCCATGTAAATTTTGCCGGGGGGAGTCGTGGCTTCTCCATTCGCATGGACCTGCCGCCTCGACAGTTCCGATTGACAACTTGGCCCCTTGGGCGTCCGCCGGATCAGGCAGCATCCGCTGCAAGAGCAGCAGCATGGCCTCGACTCCGCTCCAAACAAACCAACTGGTACAGTGGGAAATTCCCCTGTGATACAAAAGTGGATTGATGTGATATGACTTAGCAATTTTCAAGGCGATGAACATCACCCTACACCACGGTGGATTGATATGACATGACTTAGCAATTCAAAGGGATTCCGTTGGTATCACGGAAGGCCCAGGCCCTAGAACCCTGGTTTCGACCAAAAAAAAAGAAGTTCAGCCATATTCCGGAGCATCGCAGCCTTCGAAGTCTTTCATGGCAGGCAAGATTCATGTCTTTCCCTCAGATGACGGGTCAAGAGGAAATAAACCTGGATGGGAGTTACACCCACCATTCCCTGAAGTGTGCCAACCTCTAAACATCATAGCCATATGGGTGTGTCCTACAATTTGCGGCTTCATTTGGATGGCGAATTCAAGGGGGAAACCTGATCATTTATTCACCCTGGTTTGGTCATTGCTTCAAGGCTTCTAATGGCAGACGGTAGGATGGAAATGGGCAACTTCATTCCTCAGGCCGGATCCTGTCCCTGTTTTCCTCGTTTTGGCTTGTGCTTTTTTGGGCTGCGAGAAACCCTCCGCGCATCCTTCACGAGCGTGGTGCAAACCCAACCGCGGCGTTGCAATTTGCCGAGATACTGTTGTCCCCAAAATGGTTGGTTTCCTCTTGGCTTCCCTTTCAACCCAACCAAAAGGGGGATCCCATGATTCCGCTAAAAAAACATGCACCCATTCGTTCTTTTCAAGTAGGGGTTTCTAAAATGGTGGGCCCTTGGTTAAAGGGAAACCATTTTCTTCTTTTAAAGTTCCCTTTTAAAGAAAAAACGAGGCCAAAATTAAAGGCGTTCGCAAAAAAAAAAAAAAATGACACGCCCATTTCTCGGGGGCTGAGAACCACCCCGTCGCTTCCGCTCGATCCCCTCGCTCCCCCCGTCCCCCGATCCGTCGCCTCCTCCAAGTTCCGCCTGGACTCCCGGGATGCCGTGGGCAGCAGAGCCGAGCTGAAGAGCTCGTAGACCCGCCGCACGAAGGCCAAGGGGGGCGCCTGAAAAACCGGGGAGGAAACGGAAGCCAAGAGGAGAACCAAAAGGGACAGCCGGCTTTTGGTTGGGGGCTCCCAAAATCGGAGCAGCCGTTTTGGGGGGCCGATTCCCATTTTGCAGCGCGGCTGAGTCGCCACAAAGAAACCAGAACCGGCCTCTAGATAAATTGCAACTCGCTCCACTTTTGGGAGCAAATCTCATTTAATCAAGGGCTGTTTGAGGCACAAAAGGGGGGTTTGCCAGGCCCCACCCCAAGCGGCTCGGTCCGGCCTCAGAGCGTTCCAGCATGGCCGCCAAGAAGGATGTGGCCAAGCCTACGAGACCGGAATGGCTCAACTTGCTGAAAGCCTAAGCAGGAGATCACCGAAAGAGGATCACCTGAAAGGAACCACAAGGGATGGCTAGGGCTCATTCCCTCTTTGACTGAGAAGCCAGGAAAGGGGTGCATGAATGCCTCATGCTTTGCGCTCCTTTGCCGGGTCCAAATGGGCTGGTTCCCGCCCTGGACATGTGACTGTGAACATCAGGCCCGACTTTCGTGTTTGAAATGTTGGGACTCCGAATCGACAAATGAATGTTTGACCAGTCCTCATTTGGTATGGGCTTGTCTTCAAAGGGGGGAGGGGGAATTCCCTCACAAAAATACAAGCCTTTGACACAACAGCACACCAAAAGCAAAACCGCCCATTTGCTTGGTACCAACGATTTTGAGACAAAAGAGGTCGTAAAGCTTCAAAACCTGTCCCAATCCGTACGTCGTAGGTCCCATTCTGCTCATAGCATTTCTTGCCCTCTCCCCCAAAGCACTGCTTGGCCAGGGTTTCCGAAAAGAGCACCAGCAGCAGCAGCAGCAGCAGCAGCAACAAACAAACGGAGCAACAACAACCAAAAAAAAGAGCACCCACCTGCTAAAAGTAACTAACTCCCCCTTCCTCCCTTCCCCCAAAACCCTCCATCCCCAAACCCGAGATTTCGAGAGTGAGCGCAAACCTTCGCTCGCGCCTGAGAGGAGCTCCAGGCGCCTCGGCGCCTCGGTGGTCATGGCCGGCAGCAGGGCCTCCAAATGCGCCTGGGCCGCCTGGCGCATCCGACCAAAACCACCCGACGTCGGCAGGCGCCAGGCGCAGGCCGCCAGGCGCCCGCGGGAAAAAGCCTGCGGCCTTTTTTCAGCCCTCGTTTTTTTGTTTTGTTTAATTGTTTTTCTTGTCAGATTGGTTCAAGTTTCCCTAGGACGTGTGGATTGAATTTGGTGGTTTGGACCTTGAGGGTAAACTTCCCGTCTACCAACAAGAACCAGAGGTGCCATTGCCGACACAGTTGCTGGGAGAAAAGCCCGCAACTGGCGATCGTTCTTGCGGTCCCTTACCCTGGTCATGTTTACCTCCCTCTTGTCGCTGTCCGAGGCTGCCGTGCATTTTCAAGCGGGACGTGAGCGCCCAAAACCTCCCAGAGGTGCCCTTCAGAACGCAAGAAACTTGGGGCAGGCGCGGTCTTGTCAAATTTTTGGCGCGCCTATTTTTCTGGAGGGGAAAAATGGGTGGCGCCTTTCTTGGGAAGGAAAAACGGGGTTAAGTCAGCGACTTTCCAAGATTGCGGCCGACATCCGCCGGCGGCCGGCGCCTGCGCACGCAGGTCGCCGGCCCCGCTCATGGCCGGAGGCCGGCCGACCTGGCGAGGCGGTGGCCGGAGGAACGAAAAACCCACAGCCCGGCGCGCAGAAGTCAAGGGCCCCGAAAACAACTCCAATAAGCAAGGTGGTGTCAAACCTCACCTGTTACAGAAAGAAGAAAGCAGCTCTGGCTCTCAGGAGCAAGGCTTTCACCCAAGTGGGTTTGAAGCAGCGCATCAAGACTCAGAGCCGATCATGGCTTTTGCGCATGGGGAGCCCCGCCCTGTCTCCAACGAAGCTTAAAAGGACCCAAACTCTGGCGAAGTCAGGTCCCTTTGTTCCACATGCGGATCGCGAAAGAGCTGGGCATCCGATTGCGTGTGTCTAGGAACCGCCCAGCGGAGGTGATGAGGTTCCAGGAACCGCCGAGGTGCGGTGACGAGGTGAAGAGGCGATGAGGAGGAGGATGTGGTTCTTTTGGGGCAGTACCCTACCGACGATTGCATGGTTTGTGCACAGACCCCTGTACACAAAAGCCACTTTCCTCTTGGAAAGACTACTTTATGCACGTCCATGTTAGGTTGGAGGGTGCCCCTTTTTGGTTTAAAGGGAAATCGAAACGACAAGGGGACAACGGTCCCCTTTTTGAGACCCCGTCCCCGTGATGCAAAAGCCGGGACCCGGCACCAGATGGCACAAGGCGCCAGCAGCAAACAGCGCCAAGGATTTGCCTCGAACGAACGATGCCGTATCGGGTGTTTTTTGGGCTTTTTAAGGATACCCCTGTTCTTGTGTTGTTAAAAGGGACGCCGAAAGAAACCCCTTTTAGGGGTCCCCGAAAACCCCTGTTCTTGTGGCTTTAAAAGGGAAGCCAAAAGGCAAACCGTTTGGACCATGGTCCGATCCCTAAAAGACATACCCGTATGAGTGCTTCTCAAGGGATTCGGACACACGCACACACACACACACACACACACAAACCGCGCACCTCACAGCCCCACCACAACCACTCCCTTCTCCTCTTTTCTCACAAGGGAAACCACCAAAAGGAAATTTGGAGGTTTCTCAAGATGGTGGACCCCTTTTCACAATTGTCTGACAACAATTTGAGAAGCACCCATATGAGCAATCGTGAACGTTCATTGCCCAACTGAAAGGGGACTTAGGTGAGTGAGTAACCCCTATCTCCTAACGCGAGTTGGAACACTTTGTTGCCACCCTTGCCCAGGCTTGATGCCCGCGTTCTTTTGAGTCCTCCCTCACTTTTCCCTACCACGCACGGGCACTTGGCATTTGGCATGTCTCCTCTAAGCAAAATAAGCTCCTGGCAGGCTTGCTCAGTGTAGTAGGCCAGACAGGCCTCAGGCTTGACGGACTTGTGTCATGCCTGTCAGACCGAGGCCAGGTGCGATGCTCGTGAGTGCGATGCTCGTGAAATGCCGAGATCCGGGCATACTCGTTGTGCGAGCCTAGCTTCTGCAAGTCCTCCTTATACCTGGAGCGGTCACCTGCAGCAGTGTGGCACATGGAGCATGGAGCGTGGCTTCCGGAAAGCGTTGTGAGATGCGGGGAAAAACCAGTTCTTCTTGCCAACCGGTGCCTTAGGCGAAAGCCTAAAGGTCCGCTTGGGGCACTCAGAAAAGGAAGCCCAACCAATCAAGCCAAAGCTTTCGGGGGCGACTTTTAGATTGGAGGGTTCCGCATGCTCAGGCAACAGCTGGCCACACTTGGCGTCTTTGGATGGCATGAGTTTGATCAAATGAGCCCAAAGAAAAAGTTTAAAGGGAAAATCGAAAGGGAAACTCAAAGGGAAACCAAAGGGAGACCAAAGGGAGACCAAAGGGGAAACCCAAAAGGAAACCCAGAGGAAAACCTCAAAGGGGAAATCCAAAGTCCACACGAAACCCGAAGGGAAAGTTCAAAGGGGAACTCAAAGGGAACCGCAAAGGAAACCCAAAGGGAGAGTAAAGGGGAAGTCCAAAAGGAAACCCAAAAAGAAAGTTGAAAAGGAACCCAAGGGAAAGTGCAAAGGGGAAAGTTCAGGAAAACAACAAGTTGGGCTGACACGCCACCCCCCGACAAGGCGCCTTCGCCTGCAGTGGCGCTGAGCTGATAGCTCAGCCCCGACAAATGCAGCAGTACGAAGGGGTCCTGACTCGTCAAAGGGGCGAGGGCTGATACTTCATATCCCCCAAAAAGGGGTATGTACTGCCCTCATAAAGTTGGACGTCAGCCATTCGCTCCGCCTAAATCAACCCCAAACCACTTTAGGATTTACCCTCATGAATAAGCCAGGCAAAAGTGAGTTGGAAACCAGGGAAGCCAAGGGGTATGAACAAGGTCTGTGTACTTCCACCCTTCAAGTCCAATACAAGGAACTCTTTAAGCTATGAACCAACGCGGGTTGAAACCGTGAGTAACGGACCCCGCCAGATTTTGCAGTTGAAAGGACGAGGATCCCTTGTCAGCGGTTGGATACCATGCCTTCTGGGTTGCTCGTACACCTGACAACTTTGGCCAATGGATACTGGTGAGGGGTGATTGCGACTCCCTCACCAGGCGGTTATCCCCAGAAAGGCAAGCATACTCAGCGCTTTGGGACCCCTTGGTTGCCCTAAGCCATACAAACACGAACAGAACATGCTTGCCTTTTAAGGATGGTTTAAACCGTTATCGCAAAAAGGTGGCCTTTTTGGGTCCAGTAAAGTGACACTTAAAATCACGCAGGACATTGTTCTGTTTCATTTTTATCGGCCAAAGGCAAACACCTTTTGAATGCCTCTCTCGGTGTTTTTTTTTTTTTTTTCTGGGACCGCAAAGAGAAATATAGGAGCATTGTTCATTGGTCAGAAACTTGATCCACCCGGTTTAGGTCCAAAGATCCCACCATTTGCAGGGCCCAGATTCCTGAAAGAGTGGCCTCAAAGTACACACCTTCCCACCCAAAGGGCTTCGTGTCCTTTTGAAGCCAAAAAGAGAAAACAGCTCATGTCATCCTTTCTTTCTCGCCCATCGGATCCCCGGTGTGTTCCTTAGACCCGCCGGGGCCGGACGTCCTGCAGCTCCAGGCTGCGGGTGAGGCCGCCGGCGGAGGGGGCCATGCAGGGGCAGCTGGAGGCCCTGAGCTGCACCTGACCGGGAAAAAAAAAGAAAAAAGATGCAGACCGGGGGCGTCTTTTTGCCACCTGTTGGGCAAGGCCAAGGAAGTTTCCTAGGTGCCCAACTTTTGAGAGTGGCTTTGACGAAGTTGCAGCTTCTTTCCCTAGATTCTAGGGGTACCTGCCATTTCCATTCTGAACCCTGGGATCCGAATCTTTTCAGGAAACCATCCAAAACCCACCAAAAACGGCCGCTTAACCCCTAGAACCTTTTGTGGAAAATTGTTCAACCCCCTCGTAATGGGGAAAAACAACTTTTTTAGGGGGTCGCCAATTTTCTCACAAAAGGTGGCAAAAAGACCTGAAGCAGCTTCCCCATTCGCTCGAAAAAGTTGCAGCGAGGGCAGTTTCGGCAACAAATAAACAAACATGGGCAGCATATGAGGGGGTGGTTTCGGTTCTTTTTTGGGGAGCCCAAAATGGTGGTGTTCGTCTTGTTCCCTTCAAGAACCAGCAAAAAAGGAGGGGGTATCCTCAAAAAAAAGACACGGCCATATCAAGCTGCTAGATCGCCAGCAAGGACACACCTGGTTTGAGGCGGAGTGCCTGCAAAAGACATTGCCAGGAACGTTGACCATTTGTGGGAACCTACCAACCACTGGCTCCACTATGTTAAGGTACGTTGGACTGTGAAGGGGTCATTTTGGAAGGGGGTCGTTTTGGAAGACCTCCTAAGCGGTAGGTTGAAGGGAGACAACCCCGGTTTCTGGCCTTGACCCCCCCCCCCTCCCCGGGCGAAACGGCGAAACTAATGAATCTAGAAAAAAGCAAGGAGCAAAGAGCAGCCAGGATCCGTGCAGAGGGTTCCAGGTGGGTTGAAGATGGATGCAGGTAGCAATCCCAAAAAAAAAAGCCAGGATCCGCCCAAAGAGCTTCAGGAGTGAAGATACATGCGGTGTGCGTGGCTTCGTTGGTTTCACTGAAAGCAGAAACAGCTTGCGATTGGCTGAAAAAAGGCAGAAGCTGTTGATCTGTCGGCTCGGTTTCTTCGGGGCAACCGAGCCTCTGGATGGCGGAGGGAGGGAAACCACAAGGAAAACCCCACCCGTTTCCTGGCTTCATGCTTTGAGGCTATCCCGTAAAAGAACAGTTGATATCGAGGAATGGCGCCAGAGAGGAAAAACAAGCACATGCACAGAAGAAAGCGGCCGAACCACCCCCAAGCTCCAAGTGCCAATTCGAATTGGTGTTGGCTCGGTCCAAAATTTGATGCGCTCCGTTCGTCCGAGGGAACCAGCCTCAAACCAAAACGAACAAGCTACCTAGTTTTTGTGGTTTGCCTGGGATTTTAGTGGGGATTGGACATGGTATCTGTCCCATGCCGAAGCACAAATTGATCGAAACTACAAAGAAACTGTAAGACCCAACCTCATGTCGCACCCCGCATGCGACAGTTCCCGTTGGCTTCCCTTCAAGGCACTGAAAAGGCTGCCCTTAAGCAGTCTACAAGCCATGTAGATTTGTCTCAGAATGCTGGACCTTCCTGCCGAAACAAACCACAATTCGCTTCTTTTTGTTCAATGATTTATGTATTAAAATTCATTGACAAGGCATTTCCGTTTTGGTCGCCCTTTCAAAGCAATCAGAAGGGCGCCGACCTACAACAGGGGGGCCGCCAAGGTGAACTCGAGTTGCCACACGCGCGGCTTGGACCTGCATGGAGTCCCGGAAGAGCAACGCACCCTGGCCATCGCAAGAGGCGAAAACCACGCGAAAGCGCGGGGTTTGCCAATGAACTCGGTTGGGAGTTTCTATGGGACTCTCTCTTTTCTGCGAGTTGGCACCCCTTTGAAGTGGTGTTTATGGGACTGCCTCTTTTCTGAGAGTTGGTGCCCCTTTTGGAGTGGTTCTTTTAACTGTGAAACCAAGGAAACCAAAAGGAAACTATGGATTTTTGGGTTGGTTGCCTATGTTAAAACACACCCGTGCAGTATAATCATCCAAAACCTCCCCACGGTCCGCAAAAACCCGGCTGGTTGACGGTTGAAGGGCCCGGGCCCCGGGCACAATCCCAATCCCTGCCACCCGTCACCCGACAGAACTGATGCACCAAACCTGAAACCCGTTCTGTTGACGCAGCGTTCAAAAGCTCACTCACCGGCCAGTTAAGTGTACGCCTCCAGTACGGGAAGGCACGTCCAAAATCTGTCCCTTGCAGTAAATACTCGAAGTGTGACGTTTGTTCCTGGCAGAAACTACCCGTCGACTGCGCTGTCCAGATGCTGCACGTTGCCAACCTCACAGTCCGTCAAATGATCCTCCATCTTCATTGGAGACAAAAAGGGTATGCCAAAGCGCGCATTGAGCTCACGTTCCGAGAGATGCTCGAGGCATGTTTGGCCAATTTGGTTGGGGGGTAGCTTGGGGACCTGAACATATCAAGCTGAACAAATTCAACATGGGCAGGCTAAAACTGCTCCGTGACCTGAACTCGCCTAGATGCGAGCAGGATCAGCTTGCCAAGCTAACCCTACCCATGGACAATAGACAAGGAATGCGAGTGTCCATAGACTCGGGAAACCATATTCTTGTTGAATGTGTTGGAACTATTGCTTGAATAACCTCTTGGGAGTTCTCCTCAAAGATGTATCCGAAGTAAACATTGGGTGTGTGCTTTTGAGCAAGGAGAGCCGAAGCCGTTTCGGGATTCCCACATCATACAAGAACAACAAATTGAGGCCAGGTCTAACAAAAACGGGTGCTCAACCGACTCAGTTGCCAGAAATGGTCAAACAAATCGGCCCCAAAATCGGCCCGGAAAAAAAATCGGCGCCGGAAATGCCTCAACGGTCCAAAAAGAACGACCCGGTGGCCAGAAAAACGGTCCCAAAAAAAATCATCGTGCCTTCTCGGCCCCGAAAAAATCGGGGGCCAAGTCCTGGTGCCCAAGCCCAAGGCCCCCGCCCCCGCCCGCCGGCCTCCCCCAGCTCCCGGTCGCAGGCGTCCGCCAGGCGCAGGGCTGTGGCCACCAGGAAGGGCGCGGCGCCGTGCCTCAAGACGGCGCCCAGCACGGCGGTTGTTCCCCTCGTTCCTTTTTTGAGGGTGTTGGCCTTTCTTGTTGTTCAGGCGTTTTGCGCCTTTTCCTTTTTTCGGAAGTTGTTCAGGATTGTTTTGCTTTTTGCTTTTGATATAATTAGTTTTTTCGGAATACTGGTGCTGACCTTGAATACTGTTTTTTTTTGGCAGAATACTGGCTTTCTTTTGTTTCAGAGCGGTCCTCTTTTCTTGCTGAATGTGCTCGACTGTTTTTAGAGATTGGGCGGCCCTTGGGTAGCCCTGATTTTTAATTTTTCAGAAGGGTCCAAACAAAATCATCTCGGGCACGAAGGTTGGTCTTTTGCAGGACATGAACCTGTTTCTTGGGGGGTAGGTTTCGGGCCCTTGGGTGGCCCTTGGGTAGCCCTTGGGTGGCTCTTGGGTGGCTCTTGGGTGGCCCTTGGGTGGCCCTTGGGTGGCTCTTGGGTAGGCCTTAACCCGTAGATCAGGACATGTGGTTCCAGCACGGTCAAAGCGGTTTCGTTTTTGGGTTGCGTAACCCTTGGGCAACTCTTGGGTGGCCCTGATCGTAAGTTGCGTAGCCCGACGCACTGACATGCTGACCCTTACTTTTGAGTTCAATACGCTTCTGGGGCTCATGATCCCCAACCACGGCCCTGGGCGTCACGATGGCATATTCAATCCTACCTGTGGCCGAGTCCCAAAATCAAAAACCCAAACATCGGGATAGGCTTCGAGGAGCCAAACTGTAACCTTGTCCCTTTTGGGACAGACCCAATTACATTCTGACCATGACACCTACTTCGGGTTGTCAAATTTTGCACCCGCCCTTGAGATCTCCCAAGACAACTTAAAATGACACCAAATGGGTCCTGCTTCTTTTTCAAAAGCCCTCATATCTATATAAATCGATGTATCATACATGCATGTGTGGGAATTGTTTTGGGGACCGTTTGGTGGACATCATGTTTCTACATTGGGAGCTATGTCCGCCAACCATTTCTTGGAAGTGCTACCACCGCCTCCACCGCCTCCACCACCACCACCGCCACCATCACCACCACCACCACCACCACCACCACCAGCATCATCATCATCATCATCATCATCATCATCATCATCATCATCATCATCATCATCATCATCATCATCATCATCATCATCGTCTACGGCATCTACACACACAGGCATCCTTGATCTCCACGGTTGACCTCAACGGTTATGCCAGGCGGCGCTGAAACCCCAGTCTCGCCAGGCGAGATCAAGCCCGTCACCACCTCCTCCGAGAATTCGATGAGGGATCGACCTTTTGGGCTGGCATTTCGTTTCCTTATGGGTATGAATTTTAAGCGGTTGGACCCGTTGGACATGAGAAATCGGATGTCCACTTAGGTGGGTCCAACTCTTCGAATTCATAGCCATGGGCCCTAACCTTCCCATGGCTCACCTTGTTGTGGTTCTGGGTCAGCATAAAATATTGGGGTCGTCATGGTTTGCCCCAAGCACGAATGTGGGACGGCTTGCCGTCCCATTGCCACAGACGGTAAAGATTAATCGCTGCTGTCTGATGAACCGTTGGGACGCTTTATGCTTGGAAAAGATCCCGAGGACATCAACCACTGCGATGAGGGCCTCAACTCTAAGACGAGCGAGCTTTGTCACATCAAGGATTCGCTTTGAATCCAAGCCAACATTGAAACCACTCGGTCGAATTCAACCACGTCAGTTCTCTTACCGCTTGATCCCGAGATTCATTCCCGCTTTTGGCGGTTCCCCCAGGAAGTTCTCCTGCAACTGCTCCGAGACTTTCATCTTCATGTCCAGCCGCCTGACCGACGGGCAACGAGAGAAACAATGGCTCAAGGAGAGAATCGGCTTTCATGGAGCGCTTTTCCCTTCGCTTTGTCCCTGGGATTGCTTTCCTTTTTCGTTCTCCCCTAGATCAAACTTTCATGGAAATGTAGCCGGGGTGGTGTCCCCTTCGTTTTCCCCTAGATAAAGCCCCCAGTACCATCCATCCGATGAACTCATCTCTGAGTTCAGAGCTGCTGCCCCGCGATGTCCACGTGCTGTAGCTGGGGAGGTCGGCCAGCCGGCCAAACCAGGCGCATCTCCCAAGAGCAGACCTCGCAGGACGGATTCCCCAAATTCCTTTTGAGGCCAAAAAAGGTCAAAATCGGGATTCCCCCCAAAAAACAGGTGGCGTTCGGCCAGGGGTTTTCTCTTGCAGTTCATTGTGATGGCTTTCCAGGTGGGTTACCCTTCTGATGGTTTTTCCAGGTGGGTTGGGTTGGGTCGGGTTGGTTGGGTGGGTGGGTGGGGGGGGTGAGGTGGGGGGGGAATCTTTTGTGTCAGAGCTTCTGGCTCCAGTGCTGGAATGCTCAGAAGCATGGCCAGGCTCGGCACTTTCACGCCTCCTTCTGACTCTCTGCCAGCCAGGTTGTTTCAACAAAACTAAGCTGAAACAAACATGTTGTTGAAACATGTTCAAAGCTTAAACATGGTGCTTCTCAACAGTGGTTTAAATGGCGTGATTCACCAAACCTGGTTTCAACATCTTTCGGGACCCCACCCCGCTCGGCCGCAAGGACTCGACTCCGCGCTCGCTCCAGTCGCTCCAGTCGCTCCGCGCCTGGCAGATGAGGGCGGCCTCTGAGAGCAGGATCCGGCGCAACACTGTGGTCAGCGAGGACCTCAGCCGACGAGATGAAAACCGAGGCAGGGGCGCCCATTTGGCCTCAAAACGCCGCCGCCGGCCAGCTGCCCCCCGGCCCTTCGCCAGGCGCCCCCGCCACGGCACTGCCAAGAGGTTGCTCAGGACCTGCCGTGGCCCACCCCCCTCCAAGCACCCGAGTGACCTGCTCGGTTTTTAAGGTATCATGTCAAGCATGGAAAAAACATGGTTTGTTTCTCTTCATATCCTGAAGAGCTTGTCATTGTTTGGAGTAGGGGGCAGTGCCTCGTAACCACGGGGTCACCACTCGGAAACGGTCTCGGACAACTCTGATCACCGAGGAAGGCGACTGCGAAGCTGATACGCCGTGCATCACAATCACTTGGCTGGAATTAGGACCCCAGCAAAACAAAATATGTTTTGCCTGGTTAGTGGAAAACAAAGGAAACCCCAAAAAAGCAAAAAAGCAAAAAGGGGAGCTAATTCTGGTGAAGAATCAGAGGTAGCATGATGGGGAACCACCACTCTCCTCTCCAAATAGACCAACACCGGTGTCCGGAAAAAACCGGTAACCCCCTGACTAGCCGCGAAAATTCTCAGCTCGCCGGGCTTTCACCGGTCTTTGAGGAACGCCATGGGAGGCCGTGGAAGATATCCAAAAACACACGCGAAGCGCGAAGGCCGCATCCCCAAAGCACCAGCGCCAGAGAGAGACATACAAGTGGGTTCAGGGATTAGAACAGGAATATGGGGGACTTTAAAGCCAGGCGAAAGCATGATCATGAAGTTCTGGGGAAATGGTTTAGCCCCTACATTGCGCTCAAACCTGCCTTGTACCGGGACGGCCAGACGTGGCACATGTACCGCAACAGCACATCCCGCAGGGCGGGCAGAGCCTCCGAGAGAGAGGCCGGCCATGGGCCAAAACACAAAGGATGGTGTGGAGGGAGGGTGGTCCAAAATCATATCCAGAAACCAAAAAGAACACTTAGCTTTGATGGGCATCCAAAGGTTTCTGTTTCTCATTTGGGTGTGGGTCAAAACTAAACCACCGGGGTACCACAGGTTTTCGTCCTTGGTTCCATTTACCAGGGTTCCATTTTGGGTTTACCCCATTTTTGACAACCACGGCCATTTGGGTCCCAACCCCGCGGCCCTGCTTTTCCGTTGACCCCCCGTCCAAAACTGGCCATGACCACAACCATCGATACAGACCCCCCGCCAACAGGCTCAGCACGATGGACAAGGCCGCTTCGTAGGAGGTGTGGTTCTCCACCGCCTAGGTGAAAAGCTGAGCCCTCAGCGTGGCCCCTTTGTCAAAACAGTTGAGAACTATGGTCATGGATTTAAAGGGGCGGGGAAGGGGGGGGGAGCGATTTGCAGACATCGCTTTGGGGATGTATGTCCACCAATAATGTTTTGAGGGTGTCCAACCATTCAAGTTCAAAGCAACGACATCTTGAGATCCAGTTGCCACTGCAGCAGCTAAACACCTGAGGCCTTGCCTCGAAGCTGTCCCCGTCTATCCCGCCTGCTTGATCTCTGGCTGCGTGGCGTTGTGAGGCTGCAAGGCCTTGCTGGATGACCTCGCAGGCCGAAGCTTCGGTCCCGAGTCCGCTAGTCTCTTGCACGTGTTCGAAGCCAAAACCCACTGACTTGTGGTTCTAAACGCATAGATTTTTATAGGCCTTGCCATTTTTCCCAATTCAACTAGGTAGTGCCACCTAGTAAAATGGGCCAAAGGAGCCTAAGGCTTTCCTGCTTTGGGGGTGTCCCCTTTGCGACAACCCCCGGACTCGTCGCAAACCGAGCGGTTCGGGTCCCAAGGTCTGGGCCTGGGGGCTCCGTTGTCGGTCCACACCGGCAGGGCCGGAGGGTTCTCCAACCTCAGCGAATCGACGTGCCAGGGCCGAAGGAATTTGATGCGCGGGTTGGCTCCAAAAGAAAATCCGAGTTTGGGGACCAATGTGCCCAACTGGTGTTATCCACATGAAGCAACCCCACGAATGTGCCACACGATTTTGGTGGCTCTTTGCACACAAATGATCAACTAGATGATGGCCGGCGTCCTTCGGCCCTCTTTCAACTTGGGTGCCCGGCAAAAGAAAGAGCGCGTCCAGCGCGGACGGGTTGTCGGCCCTCGTGGGGTCGATATCCACAGTGCCTTGCGAGCTTTCGGGAGGCAGGGCGAGAAGCTTTGGGCACTTGAGGCCCGCTGAAACGGCCGATTTCGTGCCAACCGTTCCCAACTAATGTTGAAAAATGCCCCCATGGCTGGAGGGGGTTGATCCCTTTGCCGCCCATGACAGAGTCACCCAAATCTACTTCTTCGAGGGAAGGTTTGGGCCCAGCCGGGCCCAGCACCCGACCTCGTTTTCAGACCCCAATGCTTTTTGACAAGCTGGACAGAACAGGGGACCCATTTCTTCGGAGCAGTTTGAAAGGGAGACCAGAAGGTTCCAACCATCTGGAAGGGTCCCTAGTTTTGAGGAACAATTTCAAAAGAATTGTGAAAGGGGGAAACGCAAAGAACGCCACCCATTTTGAAAGCCCCGTCCCTTTTTGACCAAACCTCAAATGGGCATCACTGTCAATCGGCCCGACCCTTTTGTGGCATTTACATGGGCTTCATACCCACGAACCATTTTGAAGGTGGGCAGTGCCAACCTCTGTCCTGCAATTTGGGCCTTTAGGCCCCCGCTTCTTGGCTAGTGCTTCAACGGCAAGAGCGAACCACCCGTCTCATTTCCGCTGACAGGACGAGTCCTTAACAGGCCTCCTGTGCACATCGATTGGAAGATGTGGATGTTGTCCACAACCACAACTTGGGGCTCAGTTGAATGCGATTGTTGCTCTTCTTTTTTTTCCGGGCACCCGGCAAAAGGAGAACACCATGCGTTTTTGTTTTTCCTGTCTTTGGAAACCTTATATAGAAACCCTTTGGAAACCACCCCTTTTAGGGGACCCCGTGGCCTTCGGAAACGACCCTCAAAGCTGGAGGAAGATGGACAAAATCGCCTGAAACAGTATGGGTTTGAGGGTAGTAGCCCGTTTTATGGGTTTGAGGGTGGCACCTTTCAAACTTCTCTCGACTTGCCGCCTGGTAAAGCTCGGCTCGTTGGATCCAGTCCTGGCGAATCCGATTCGAGGTGTCCGTTTTTAGCAACGGCCTTGATTTCTGGGTCTTCCGACTTTGGTGGGTACCCCAAAGGGTTGCTGGAAAGGGAACAAGGGAACACCGGAATCCATTTCTGGAAGTACCCAATTTGGAGAAGCAATGTGTAATCAAGAGCTTAGTGGTTGGTTGCGCCGGACCTAAACACATCAACCCCCAGCGGAAACTCGCTAGGGCATGCGATGGTGGTAACAATGCAATGTCTCAACAAGCGGACAAATGTGCTTTCCCCTATGGACAACTGGAGAGGGGTTCATCCACGGCAAAAGGATTCCTATGCTTCGTTCAGGCTTTCAACAAAACTTGAACATTCACGGGCACATCACCCGATGTTTATGGGATTGTATAGAGATTCCAGGCACCTATTTTTGGCCAAACGCCCTTTTGAGATTTGTCAAAAAGCTGTGACATGTTGCCGAGGGTGCTCACAAGCCCGATCAAGCCTTCCGAGAAATGATGCTGGCAGCTGTTCACTGTTTATTTTTGAAACCTGATGCTGTGCTTGAACAATGCAATCGCTACCCTCCAACAAGCATGGGACTGCACAGGTTGACGATTTTCCTCTTGAGGGAGCCTGCGCACTTCCATGTTGCACGGGTACCCTTTGAAAAGGGCGGCAATCAAAACAATCAAATTTGAAACCGGGCAGTTATGTTTAGGAGTCTTAAAACCAAAACTCTGCAGAGGAGCCATTTGTTTGAAATGAAGAAACGCGGCTCGCCGCTCGCCTAGCAGGAGCTGTGCCAGCTGCTGCGCGGGGCCCCAGCTGCTATCCGAGGCCGCGTCTGACGCAAAAAAGCAAAAGACGCGACCACTTGGGATTCTATCAAAGGGAAACTCCTCAAAATGGGGGTGAGGCATCCAAGAAACAACTTGTTAAGTATTAAGACTAGTACTATCATCATTATGATCATTGTTGATACCTATCAAAATGGTTGCCTAGATAGCCAAGTTACTTTGTTCAAGACTTTTAATCCTAAAAGCCGTCACAGCTGGGAAGAGACTGCAACTGGATCGATTTAGGAGGCTTGGGTTCCCTTTTGCTTCCCTTTGACATCCCTATTGATGTATCTTTGAGAAACACCACCTGCTGGACGTATCCAACTGATTGATGCATCTTGAAGCAAAAGGTTCCCTTTGAAAGTTTTTTGTATTTGCAGCAAAGGGCTCCGACTCAGAAAATGAAGCCCCAGGTGCAGAGCAGTCCGGGTTTGAACGGACCTTTGAGGGCGACCAAAGGCCGTGTTCTTTTGGAGGCGACCCTTTGGGTTCGCCGAATTGGAGACAAAGCAATACAGAAAGGGTGCCCTCCAATTCAACACAACCCAGGTCTTCCACATGGCTATGAGTTTTGATTCGGAACCACCTCGAAAGTGGTTGCTATCCCCACCTAAGTGATGTGCAAAGTGTCCCTAGGGTTTTGAGAACCGAAATTCCGAAATTGGGGCAGGGTCGCGCCAAGTCTGGACTTCCACGTCCCCGTCTCCCTTCAAAACGCCCCAAAATCTGCTAGTCCAAATTTTGCAGGGAACATACCTCCTTTTGCCAGTCCAAATTCTTGTGCGTGCATAGCCACTGGAAGGAAAGATGAGCCTAAATCCATGCAACAATGTTGGGTGTAAGTACGTTGACAAGTAAACCAAAAAAAGACACCCAGGCGCATGAGGCCGACAGCATTTCAACTGCCGAAAATGTGCGTCCGGGTTGAGCAAGGGTTGCATAACCGGGTTGAGCAACTTTCTGTAGGGGAATGAACCCCAAAAACCATCCCCCATGGCTTCCTTTTAGGGAATCCCCAAAACCGGTTCATTCCCAACACCGTGGGTCATTCCCTACCTATCGCACCAGCAAGTTGCAGAAATGATGTCAACCCCATGGAGGATGAATTCTCCCAAGCCCCAGCTTCAAAGCTCACCCCATCCAAGCGAAGAGCGACAGGCCTCCTAGAAGCAGCAAGAAGAAGCGCAAGGTCAAGGATCTGCTTGACTCCTGAGCTTGGAAATGGAGGTCTGTTTTCTGAGGCGAAGAGCAGTGGCTTTAAAGGAAACCACAGGGACACCCCATCATTTTGCAAGTGCCCTTAAGAAAGACACACCCAAACTGTACTTCGCGTAAAAGCAATCTTGGAACTAGTGAAGCATCTGTGCAATTGATAAAGACTGCTTGGTACTTACCCCCATGGTGAGCTGGAAAAAATCAACATGGGTCTGTGTCAAAATTGGGCGACCTCCAAAATAGCGGCGTTCCTTGTTTGTTTCCCTTTCAACACCGCCTTACAAAGGCTACCCTCAAAAAATCAAACCCGCACCCACAAAACCCCCCCTCAAATCCACGACGAGCCGAGCCCCGAGGCCGCGGCGTTGAAGAGCGCCGCGAAGGGCAGCTGCACGCGGTGCTCGTCGTTGAGGGCGCCCACGATGGCCCCGGCGCCCCGAGACAGCCAGCTCGCGGGGATCTCGAAGCCTCTCGTTGCGCCGGTGGCGTTTTCAAAAAAGCCGAGTCGTTTGCGAGAAAAAGAAAAAGAAGAATAGAAAAGAAAGAAAAAAAACAGGGTTTGTGGCAGCAAATTATGTGTCGCCCAAGGTTTGTGGCAGAAGGGCTGTCTTGAGGCTCGGTACCGGTTTTGGGGTGGGTTGAAAGGGAGACCGAAAGGGAAAACCACCGTGTTGTGTTTAGCACACACAGACACACATGTGGTTCTGTCCTAAACTGGTGGTGAATACCTTTCCCGTGGCTTGAATTATCAAGAAAACCAAAAGGAAACCAATCACAGGGCCTCATGTTGAAACATTCACCTTGCTAAGGCGAAATGATCAAAACTGTATGAACCACTATCACCTCGAGGAAGCTGTCTCTCTCTAGCGGGACATTGCAGAAAAAAAAACAGACTGCAATCTTCATCCCACGGGTCAGAATTGCACATCCCTTCTTAACTCTCTCTCTCTCTCTCTGTCTCTCTGTCTCTCAGCAGGACCCAACATGAGACCACCTGTTTGAACGCCTCCGCCTGTTTGACACATCTCCCTGAGACTGATATCCCCAACTGAGGAACCTGCAACCGGCAAGCGGTTTCCTGTTGGCGTTCCGTTCAAATTCCATCGTGTTGGTGGCCAAGCGTCAGATTCCTTTTGTGATTGAGCTCTTGTCGTGTTGTTGGTCGGCTGAAATCAATCTGGATCAAGATAAACAGCAAAGAATACACAACAAATTGGTGAATTCACAAAAGTCAAAAGCTCAAGATCCAACCAAACCCAAATGGCAAACAGGCAATTTCAAATACCAAAGATACAGCTGAGCCTCCCGTGGAAGAAAACCTTTTGATGATTGCCATCTTCTCACATTGAAAGGGACTGCATTACTCGCTGAGTCCTCTGTAGACATTACTCCCGCCAAAAGGAATTTCCTCGCAAGATATCAGCCAAAAGGTGATGCTTCCATCACTTCCAACACATAGCATATTATATGATCCCCATCTAAAGGCCCAATCTTCGCGGCATGGACTCCCACCTCCCCCCTTCAACCCCTTCCGTTTGCCCCCCCCCCCCCCCCCGCAACACCACCCCCCCCCCACCCAAACCACCCAAACCACCCGCCTCGCAGATACCCGGCGCGGAACACCGCGCAGTCCGCCGCACACCGCAGGGTGGAGACCCCGGCCTCGGAGCCTGCGATCGAAGCGAGTCCTAAACGCAGCCAAATCCAAATCCGCTGGAATCGGATTTGGTTTGCCTCTTGGTTACTTTTTTCTTAAGTGCGAGAAGGGGGGAGAAAAAAAAAAACTCAAAAAGCGCATGGAAGTCGCCAGGCGGCCGCTGAAAAAGGGGAACTCGTCACATGTTCGCAGCTAGGTCCAAGGGGCGATTGAGGCGATTGACGAGAAGTGTGCTCCCAAAGGAATCGAACCCGAGGATGTCCTCTTCCTGACACCAAAAGGGTCCCCAGTCTTTGCTGCCCAAACCACCGACCACCAAACATGGCGCAAGCCCCCTGACAACACGGGAGGTTGTTGTCTTACGAGGAGTGGTTCCCTGATAAGCCGGGAATTGGTGTTCTTGAGCGTTTCCTCCCATGCTGACCACGCCATGCCCTCTGCAGAGGAAAAAAAAGAAGAACAACTCACTGCCGCGTCGCGCGGATTTCAAACCCACTAAATTCTCACAAAGGTCTGCCGGGGAAAAAACAACGAAGGAGAAGAACCCAAAAAAAACTCAACACTCGCCGGCATGTCGCGTGGTTCTTAAAAATAAAGGCAGCGTCCGAGTTCCGCCCACCTCGCCTTCCGCTGAAGATCCCCGGGCCCAGATGCTCACGTCCGCTGCCTCGCAGCACCGCGGCTTCGGGGTGTCCGAAAGCGCGGCCCCGCGCGGTGCTCCCCCGGAAGCGAAAGAAGCTCTCCATGGAACCCGAGAAGGAAGATCAACATGGATTCCCTCCCCCTCGCCCCGAAAGAAAGAACGCACTCATTTGCAGAATCTTCCTTGCGAAGATTCGCAAGGAAGATTCTGCAAATGAGTGCGTTCTTTCTTTTGGGGGGGGGGAGGGGGAATCCATGTTGATCTAGTAAAAAATCTGATCTTTAGACACATTTACGTGGGTGCGAAACCGAACACGAGAATTGGAGCACCACAATTATACCTGCTAAGTCAGATGAGGAGCCAAAACCTAGAAAATCCAATGGAATACGCCCAAAGCCATGCATCGAATCGCGACGTCAGGGCGAAAACTTGGTCTCTCTTTCGTGGCCTCACCAAACGCACTACTACCAGTATCAAATCAGTTGCTTGTATTTTGAGCCGGCGGTCTCCGCAACGGACATGGAGAATTGGTGGGTCCCGCTGGCTTGTGCCGGAAATTCGGAGTCCCCCATGTCACGAACCCCATATTGACGGAAGAAACATCAGGATATGTGGACCTCGCTCATTCGCCTTCTGAAAACTGCGGAGGGGCCAAAAAAGGGAGGCGCCCGCGGGCTTTCCTTCACGGAACTCGGGTCGCCAGCTGCTTCTTCTTTTGTAGACTGTTTTAGGGATTCCGTGTCTGAAAAAAGAGACACAAGTCAGCCTTTTCGGTAGGTCTTTGGTTGGTCAGGGGGAAAAGACAAGTCCGCACCAGACTTATATTGACTCCCTTTTGGGGAGCATGGAAGAAAAGCCAAGGTGGCAAACAGCCATCTGAGAGTACGTCAAATCAACCTCGTGGTCACCCGCAAAAGATGAGCCTTGGCATTTGGCCCCGCCTCCACCACGGAATCCTCTGCCAGTTGCTGCAAGACGTCCACCTCGAACCGGCTTTCCGGGGTACCCGCCAACGCCGCCAACACAAGATCTGCTCAAAAACCGAACCCTTCGGCTAAACACCGACAAAAGGGGAAAAACAACGAGGGCCCAAAAAAGGAGGGGACTCCTCCACAAATGAGGGGTTTGGGGGGGATCCTTCATATGGCGCGGGCCTGGCGCAAAGCGCAGGTGCTGTCTTTGGGGATCTGGGCTGTCCGTGTTCAGATCTGCGAAAAGTGACCAACGTTTGGGTTGAATTGGACACCCAACCACCAAACCAACGAAGAAAACGAAGAAGCTGAGGAACCGGATGGCTGGGAGCCACCAAGAGGTGAGAGTTAGAGGAGCATCTTTGCTTTTTTGGCCCTGATGCGGAGGCAGAGAGTTACTTCTGGTTTAGGGTGGGTTTGGGTCTTGGTTTGGGTCTTTTGCCAAAATGCCCGGCATGTTGATGGGACCTAAAGTCAACCCCAAATCCCCCGCGAATCGCAACTCCAAGCCCAGGTCGGTACAGGGTGCTTACATGCGCTGAAAGGGAACACCAACCCAAAAAAAACATGGTCAATTGCAGTAAAGCATGGGAGTTCCGCCTTGTTTCCCTCGCACAATTGCCCTGAACCAGTTGAGAGTCCGGAAAAAATCGGGACGGCGTCCGTCCCTCCGTGGCTCCGGCGGAGTGGCTGATCGGCAGGCCGGTCTCACGGGCAGACTCGATTCTAGTTTGGGGCGACAAGGAACTGCGGTCCATTTCGAGCGAAACATCCTCATGATAGCCCTCCAAATGATAAGGGCAAATCCAAGTAATCTTGCGCCAAGTTCTGAGAACCCCTGGAAATGTTCCCTCGAAAGGACGCGGGTCCGATCTTTCAGATCTGAAAGACGTTGTCCCCGCCTCTTCATAATGAGCACCACTGTTCTTGTCTTTGCCTGCACAGGAGCGTGCCCTTGAACGGCGGGGAAGGGGGAGCCTCCAAAGCTGGAGGGGCCATCGTGGAGTTGCCACCGCGGCCGTTCTGGGGCTCAACCCGCGCCCAAGGGATATGACGGGCCTTCCGACTTCGCAGGCTCCACCGGCTCTTCTTCCCCTGGCCTAAGCTGCAAGAAGAAAAGCGAACCAAAAACACACAGCAGGCACCCATGCTGGGAGGCCGGGGGCTCTTAGTTCCTTTTGTAATGTGGGTATTGCGTCTGGTTCCCACAAGATGTCACATCTGGCCTGCTACAAGGCGCCTTATTCAGATCGAGTCTTGGACGGTGGATGCCACTGAATGCCACGAGCCCCTTCCGCGGAACTCCCCAAAACGAGGTCCGAGCATCCTGACGCGCTTCTCGCCATCCCGCTGCATCCATGAAAATGACATAGGGCCAAAGGGAAACCACACCGCTTCTTTCGGCGGTTTCGTGTTACCAAACACGTTGAGAGGCTTCACCGAACCAAAGCCCCAAAGAAGGGCTGAGAAGCAACCGCGCGCGGACATCAGCCACCCCGGCTGGGCCCAGTCGCTGGACGACTTTGTCGTGCAAGGCCGCGCTGATGGCCGCCAGCCGCCACGACCTCTGCACAGCCCACGTCGCCGCGCGACCCGCGACCCCGCCGGAGGGCCTCAACCCCCGAAGCTCCACCCCTCTCCAAGTCCATCAGCCTCCAACCTTCCGACCCCTCCAACCCCTCCTCCAACCCCTCCTCCAACCCTTCCTCCATCCCTCCAACCTTCGAACTCTCCGATAAAACCTTCCGAACCCTCCGAGCCCAACTTCTCCAACACAACCTCTAAGGTGTGCGCTCCAGCTGAAGCAGCCGAAGCACCTCCAGCCAGGCGCTGTCAAATCCACGGATTGGAGCAACCCTGTTCTGCGGACCTTTGGCGTTCCTCACAGGAAGGGGTTCGAAGTGCAGGATCTTCATCTTCATGGGTTCTTCCCCCCGCTCCATTGCCCCTGCCCACTGTTCAATGTGCAACGCGACACGGCATCCAGGCGGCACCCGATCGGGAGCGCGGAACGCGCACTGCATGAAGACGTAGAGGGCCAGCCGCGCCACTTTGGGAGCGCCTGTCAGTGGCACTTGGGGCCTTGTGTTTCTTGAGGGTACCCGTTTTGGGGTGCTGTTGAAAAGGAACCAAAAGGAAACCACCAATTTTGGGGATAAAGTCGCTGCCTTTCTCGGTTTCCAGAGGCAAGCAAAGTGGAACCTTTTAGGCCAGTTTCTAAATAATTGCTTCCAAATCCCACTTGGAAACGGTCCACGTGTTTTGCCCGCCACTCTTTTGTGCTTTGTGGGTTGCCACCCCGATTCTCCAATGCTTCAACGCCGACTCGCAGGAGCGAGCCATGGTCATTGCTACCGGTCCTTGCTCGCCCCTCACCAATCAGACTCCAATGGCTCCCGTGGCAAGTTGGCTCATCAGCCCTGACCATCTGCCCAAACCAACGGGCTGTGCCTTACCAATAATTTTCGCCACGGCACTGGCGTTTGAGTCATAATCAAAACCCGGTACTAAAATGGTCGACCCAGAACCATGTAAAGAATTAAGAAGGCGGCCCGCAGCTATTTGTGGTTGGGATTGTCACTCATTTGAAAAAAAAATACTCTGAGCTTCCGGCGAGCGCTGACAAACTCGGAGAGCAACGCCAGGTAGCTGGGGTTGTACTGTCGCCCACTGGCCTGTGCCTCAAAAACGCAAGCGGTCATACCTTCAAGGACATTTGAAAGGAAACTTCCCATATGAGGGGTCCCCTCACTTTGAGTTGGTCTTTCAACATCACGACAGGATGTTCAATTCCACTGGAATTTCAAGCAGGTGGTGCTAGACTCGCTCAAGGTTTGGGCTGAAGGGCGCCGAGCCAACCAGTCCAGTGGCTGAGCCCGCCGCGTCCAGCGAGTCGGCGGTGTCCTGTGGCCTTCGTGACCAGAAGGGGTTGATGGAAGACGAGGAGGACCCACAGCCTGCCGTTTTCTGGAAGTGAAAAACATAAAAATCGCCCATTCGCAAGCACCATGTGCATCTACACGTCTTGCAGTTTGGCATCATCAGTAATTGTTCAACCTCGTGGGCCTGATTTAAAAGAACAATGGTTTGTGTCTTTGTTTTGGTTGGGAGGGGATCCTTGTTCAAATTCACAAGGCAAGGTTTTTCCGGAGACAGGCTATTTACAGCTATATCGGGGTGCCATATCCTGTCGACAGAATGCTAGAACTCATTCTGGATGGATCTCAATTTTGGGTGGGCTTGGGGGGCTCCTTTACAATCTATGACTTGTGTCTCCTTTCTGTTTCTGCTTAGGTATTTCTCGTGGCTTCTTTCGTGTCTTTCTTTGTCGACTTTACTCCCGGGAGGGTTCGATCAGAACCCTTCCATCAGAGCCTCTACGCTGTTTTCCAGGGGCCTTCGCTTTCCTCATGCTGACCCCGGATGAGTAGGCGGGCAGGTACAACTGGGGTGGGTACTTGAGACCGTTCGGGTTCCTTGGCATTCCCTAGCGCTCCCTAGGGTTCCTTAGAAAGGCCTTGGGGGGACGGGGGGAGGATTCTATTCAAGAGGGTTCAGGAATCCCTGCCTGGGATACCACATGTTTCCAACAAAGCCAAATCGAACAGTTGGCCGAAGCACCCACCGGTAGGCCAGGGTTGTGGGAATTGCCTTCGATGGGCAAAACACCGCAGATCGGCCTTCCCAATGACCCGTCCTTTGCTTTGAGGAGGCTCTTCAGTCCCGGGACCTTACTCCGGAGGCCGGGCCTACCGTCACCACCGGAGGATACACGAAGGCAAACTCCCCCAGCAGCAGCTTGTGAGCCGCAAGCAGCGGCCCGTCCTGCGCCAGACAACGATGCCCGACATAACGGTCGCCGACCGCCCTTCCCAAAAAAAAGGCCCTTCCCGTATCGAAAACCGCAGCTGTTCGGCTCCAAAACCGGCAGAATCCAGGCCTTCACTTGCCCCGATTGGAGGTGACAAGATTGGAGGCGGCAGCGAGGTGTTTGTGAAAAAACGAGGGAAAGAGCAGCTTGCATGATCCCGCGAGCGGGCGCCAAGCCGTTCAATGCCCACACCTCGCAGCAATTGTTCCGCAGCCCTTTGACTCAAGCTGTCGTGTTGATTCAAAATATCCTGTCATTGTAGGGAGCTTGGCGACTAGGTACATTTACGAGAGGGGAGATCCAAGCACGGAGCTGAAGATCCGTCCTGCGAAGTTGTAAGGAAGGGACTGTCTTTCAAGCACGCAGCTGCCTTCTCTGTTCCACCCTGACTGTTCTCTATTGAAAAGAGTTGGGCCTTTGAGTGAACGAACTACCCGGTGTGGAAGCACATTGTGAAGATCTTGCTCACGTCATCTAGAAGTGTCACTTCGAACCAACAGACGGGCTCGTACATTTTGGATGTGCTCCCAGAGCTCCAAACTTGCCACGGGAGCCTCGGGGCTTTACGCGCTCCGGCGGCAAAGCAGGGCTTCTTGGCTTCCACAGGACCCCCCAGGTGCTGGAAACCCTATCTGTCTACATACGACATACAAGTTTATCAGTTGTCGTTTTGTAGAGAACCCGACAATGGTGTGTGTGTGTGTGTGTGTCAAAATTCAGAGCCCAGAAAAGAGTGGGTTGCTTGCATTTTCCCTTTATATAAACACAACCCCAAAAAGAGGCACCCTAGAAACACACACACACACACACACACATTCCCGCTCATTCGCACCCTCGAAGTTGCCAAGAAACAGAAGCTGGTGGGTTGACAAACTGCCGGGGTCCGCTTTTTGAGAAGCGGCCATTTTGAGTCTGCTTTAAAAGGGCGTGAACCAGAATTGTTCCTCTCAACCAACCCACCAACCCAAGGGGTGAAGGGGTGGCTTCCAAGCTGTAGTGAGAACAACCAACAAAAAACACGGAAGGAGTTCCCCACCAAGAAAGCACGGCTCCAGATGTTCCATCCAAGCCGATACGCCAAACAAACAGCATCGAGCAGCGCCCATCCTATTTACTGTCGGTTCGACCACTGACATTATCAGGGTTCACATAGCCCCAGCCAAAAATCCCTTCTAGATCATCTAGCAATTAGAACCGTATTGGCCAACAGTGAACCACTGGGGCGCCGCTCAATTGATTGCTCCCCACACCAAAATGAGAAGGAAACGCAGCCACAGCCAACACCAAAGCAATGCCAACTGCTCAGTTGCTCCCCACCAAAATGAGCAGGAAACGCAGCCACAGCCAACACCGAAGCAGAGGTTGCACAGGCCGGGTCCTGCATGCTCACCGAGCCGGCCCTCTCCGCATGCAGCGCATGGAGCCGGCAGAAGGCCACGTCCCGCTGCAGCAAGACCCGGACCTAACCGCACCGAGTCGGCGGCCCAACCAAAACCAGGCGCTGGACCCGGCTTGGAAACGGGAGAAGGGACGGGTGGGGACCGAAAATGCTTAAATATCTCTATAAGATCCGATCTATACTAAACTCATACGGGAAAATACGTGGGAAAACCCGCAGGATTCAAGTCCAATCATTCTTGAGACCTACTTGGCCCTGTAGACAACTCCGTTGGGTCCTGCTTGATACCGCGGGCCAGCAGCTTCTGCGCGGAATCTTCACACGACATTCACAGATTGTGGGTGTCAGTTTGGAGGAAATCTTGGGCCGGTCCCCGCCCAAATTCTCCCACCCATCCTTTTCGGGATCAAACTGATCCCCCCGGAGAAATCAGGGTGGTCCAGACACGTGAGATCAGACCCGACCGGTACACCATCGTGGTAGGGAGTCCACGCTGAGAGCCCCTGCCACGTCCAGGCCATACATGGCGCATTGTTGCATGTAGGGATACGCCACCTCCTCCTCTTTGGCAAGCCTGGGTGAAGCGAAGAAGAACAGGAGCCTGGAAAGACTTGGAGCGCACCGAATCCCGATGTGACCCCCCTGCGGTGCTCGAATCCCGGGAGGTTGAAATTGTGTTTTTGCTTAACTTTGGAACCAGCAACCATGAAACAGAAGCAGCGAACGAGAGTTTTGGTGCAACAGTATGATCTTGGACAGGTTTGGTTTGATTGAGACTAGCTCGAATCACCCGTAGCCGGCCCACCCTGAGTCCCAGTTCTGAAACCCACATCCAGAAGCTAAAGAACAAAAGCCCAAAGCATCCCGAGCCAGAGTGGGGCTAAACGCGCAATCCCGGCCCCAAACTCAGGCTTGGCGGACTTTGGGAGGGTTTTGCTGCGGCCCACAAGGAATTCCAAAGAGGGGCTGCAAGGCGTCACTGCACCCGCTTTTGTCCTGCATACTTTGCCACGGATCAGTGGGGCACCTTGCAACAACTTTATCCGCCGGCATCCCACGGTACGCCCTTGAGGCCGACACCCGTCCAGGGCGCGCCCGTGCAGGACCGTCAGGTTCAACCTGATCGCGACGGCCCGGAAGATGGCATTATTCCCCCAATCTGGAAGAACCTTTTGACTGGTGTTCTTCGGTTCTCCCCGCAAAAGCCGTCCAGCAGGCGGCCCTGGGGAACCTTTCCCAAGCACAACCAATAGAAAAGATAACCAGAAATAAGAAGAGGTGAAAAGTATGAAGATATAAAATACAAGCTTGTAATGATAGACTGTAAGTAAGACGATGATAATGTCCACTCTAGACTCCATGCCTTTTACCGCGCCAGCCCATACTCTAAACGCCCAATGCCGCCAAGGCCACACTTGCGCGAAGACGGGCGAATCCAAGCACAGGAGGCACCTCAGGCGCCCGACGAAAGTTGAGCGGATGTTCAGCGAGCGGCTCTCGGCAAGCCAAGGGGGACAGAGCCCCCAAGCCAAGAGAAAAGCTGCTTGAATGGATGGCGCAACCGTCGGCGAGCAAGATGAATCGACAACGGACATCGCCGACCACCAACTACATCTCAAAGGGTGATGAGGAGAATCGGGCATCAAGCATGTAAGGAATCTCGTTCGAGCAGCCAAATCCTCTAAGTGTTATCGACCCCTTACTCTCCAATTTCCCAGATCAAATGGCTCAATCCAGTCTCGGTAGCCTGGTCCACTTGCTTTTTCGTGCCGTGCTGATGCCACTCCCGGTTTGCACGCCAGCTTCTCTCAAGATTCTCACCATATTCGCTGGTCCCACTCAAAAAGACCCCCCTTCCCCTGGGCACTCGAGTTTGCAAGCCCAAGCCCTCGCTGCCAACGTGACGATTGCATATGGAGTTGTGGGAAATCACACCTTCGGCTCAGCTCCGAAGCCGTCTGCTGGTCGGGAACTCACTTTCTTGGCGGTCAGTCCCAGTGACATTCTTACTTGTCTCGTCCGGCTGACCAAAAAATAGACACCCATCTTTTGATACCAGGCGTTCCCTCCCTTGGACAATTCTCCTTCTTTGTTCCATCAACGTGGAGGGTAATGTTGACCCCGGATTGACCAACCCCTGGTTGATCCTTAGGGGGTCCCCTTTTACTGGGAATCAAAAAGGATGCACACCCATGCAGAACCTGTGCTTGGACTTCACTCTGCGGCCCTGGCCGAAAGGCATAGGCGGTCGCGTTGCCACTAGCACATCGCCGGTACACATCCGCCGCGGTCGCGTCGCTATCGCTGTAGGGCCTTCAAATAGGCCCGGGCTTCCCTCTACCCTTCAAACAACCATCAGTGGCTGCCCCTGACTGTTTTCAGGGATCAAGCCCCTGAAGATTTCAGGGATCAACTGTTTCAGGGATCAAGCCCCTGACTGTTTTCAGGGATCAAGAAAAAGGCAACAACTTGGCCGTCCAGGACAAAGAAAGTCCAGGGCACGCCCAAGCGCACCTCAACCCCTCGTTCGACCGACCGCCGCGCCTTACGATCAGCATGTCCAGCACCGGCGACGCGCACAAAGGCAAGGGCCCTCGCCTTGGCCGGGGAACGCAATTGGCGCGACCTACGCGTGGCGCACAACAGCATGCCAATGGTAAACAAGCTTCATTAGGAACGACAACTGTTCCAAAGCTCCTCCCACAGTCATTCCGATGCGGCCAGTCAAAACACACTGGATGTGTCTGCATTATGTGTATATCCGCGCACGTCTGTATCTCTCTCTCTCTCTCTCTCTCTCTCTGTCCCTTCTCTTCCCCATCCATCACTTCGTTCCCTTTGTTCCCTATGCTCTATCACCCGAAGGTACGAAGGGACAAGACGCGGCCTTATAAAGACTCCAAATAGCCGCGAATAAAGGGAAACTAAGAGGTGTCAAGGATTTTACCGAGTGAACAGGTGAATGAAGGGAATATAATATATATATATATACATAATGTTTGTGTGTGTGGTTGTGTTTGTGTGCGTGCGTGCGTGTTTTATATTCCTGTGTGTCTGGACACTTACACATGTCTCAGCCAGGCTCAGCCAAGGCTGTTCCTGCTTCTACGGCTGCCATCGGCTTCACGCCCGCAACCTTCGCCCGGCCCGCCCGCCCGGCTTGCGAGCCCGGCAGTACCAGTCGGAGCCACCGCAGAGTCAGGGCCTCGGGGTTGAGAAGATCATACTCCATGCGCGGAACAAAACGAGCCAACCCAAAGCCAAACAAACTATGTGACACGAAATGAAACAGCAAAGAAATCGCCCTACAAGGAGTTGTATTGAAGGCCTTTTCCCAAAAACATGCAAAAATCATCAAGAGCCGGAGCCCGCGCCTGCGAAATTCTTGGCTGGGACTGCCGGTTACTTCATGTGCGCCCTTTGAAGAGATGGAAAGCAGCCGTTTGCGTAAATGGCTGCTTTGCTTGGTGCCTATGATGGTGTTTTGAGAGATGCAACTCCTTTGGGTAGCCTGGGCCGAAGCAGATCAAAGAAAAACTGGAGGGCAAGAGTGAGCGACTCGAATGGGTATGTGTCAAGGCCAGATTCTTGTCTTTTTTTTCTTTAATCATGGGGACAGTCATAAAACCTATTCATTTGGAGGTGAGTTCGGGTTGGGTGGGTCGGCGGTCGGTGGCAAGATCCGGAGGATCGGTCTAAACTCACCAACTTACCCTAAACTTAGCCCAAACCTGGCCTAAACCCACCCAAACATCCTGAGCGCAGAGCAGTCCACAAACTCTGAACTCAAGAGACCTCGCATCGTCCTTTTCTTCCACGTGATAATGTAATGCAACTTTAGTTTTTGCCATTCAGGCCTTGCTTGCGAAAGAGAAGCACACATCTTCAATGTTGTGTGCGTAGTGGGGATTCATCACTTTTGCAGGGGAACCTCCTCTATTAATAAACTGGGGTTGATTAATATGGGGTCAACAGCAAGCCCACGACATTTGCGCGCCTTGCCTTTGCAGTGCAGCCCCCTTTCATGGGACCTTTTCATGGGTGTTTTGCCAGGGTCTTTCTGCGCGAGAAGGTATCGCCCGACCATGTACCAAGGCGCCAAGTAGACATCCGGGCTTCGCCGTTTGCATGTTGTAACCGGCAGTCCGGCTCTTGATTCTTTTTGCATGTTTTTGGGAAAAGGCCGACTCCTTGTAGGGTGATTTCTTCTCCGGTTGCAACTCGAAGGCCGCCGCCCGAGCCACGAGGCCCCCAAGGCCCCAAGGCCCCAAGGCCCAAGGCCCCCGGGCCGCGAGGCGCCAGTACCGCGCGGGGCTGTGGAAGGCCGTGGGCTCCGCAAGCACCTTGAGCAGCACCTGCCGGGAGCTCAATGCGGGCCAGGGCGCAGTTTTTCGACCTGGCGGTTCTCTTGTTTTACGGTTGCCCCAAAAAAAAAGAAGGCTTTCCTTTTGGTGTCCCTTTAAAACGACTAGAGAAGATTTGTTTTAAATAAGATAAACCCACCTTCAGTTTTCGTGCTACGAAGTCACCTTTTGGCCCGTAGTTCTCAAAGGTGAAGCTATCAAAAAATATGTTTCTGCAATAGCCTCCGCCTCCAGCTCCTGCCATGTGCGTGCCCCACTCGCGTCTTGTCACCAGAATTTTGGGCGTCAATGAAACTGCAAGGGACAAGGGGCAACGGAATCCCCAAAACACGCACTACAGCAATTTGATTTCTCCCCACCTGCCCCCCCCAAAAAAGAAAAAACGGAAAATGTGTTGGACATTGTGTAAAAGCATTGGGGTGTTTGATTCCCCGGCATCCTGCGCTACATCGCCAGCATCACCTGCATCATCCACATTAGTGTCCGTCAATGATGCGGATGATGCAAGTGATGCTGGGGATGTTGCCCAGAAGTGACATGATCTTAGGGAAAAGCAGGAGAAGATCTCGGGGTGGGGAAAGGGGGGCAAAGATCTTGGGGGGGTAAAGGAGGAGAATTTTACGGGGGAGACTTCCAAGGGGGCGGTCCAATGGGATAATTCCCATGGCGATGGGAAACATCCAAAGGAAAACTTCCAATGGGACAATTCCAAAGGGACGCAAATAAGAAAGTTGGCCTGTAATGTTGGAACGGATCTGGGCGAATACACCGCAGATTTCCTGATGTTCCGTAGATTGTGCATCACCCTGGTCGGGCACCTGGATCTCAAAACGGGTCCTAATCACTCGTGTTTTTTTCTGGGCGCCATGCCGCGGATCCCTAGATTTTCCTCTGTGTTTGGGGTCCGGATTCTAAGGAAAGTTCTTCCTGCCAAGAAGAGATGTTTCCGAAACCCGGCAACACCACCCAACGTTGAACATATGGCCGTGCGCGGTACCCTGTCCACATTGATTTACAAGGGAAAGCCAACAATTTGGGGGTCGCCCCTATTTTGACACCCATGCAAGCCCCAGTTAGGGTTCAGGGGCATGCAAGGACCAACCTGAACCAACCTGAAACCAACCTAGTTTGTTCAATCTGCAAAAGGCCACTCTCAAAAAACACGAACCCGCACACACACAGAGAGAGAAGTACCCCACTTACCCAAAGCCAACCTATTTTTTCCCCCTACCAACCTAAAAGAGTGCAACTCCCCTCACAAATCACACACGCAGTCTCTTTTCGTAAAAGGAACCAACTACAAATGGCTTCGGCTTCGCTTCTGGTTTCCCTGGTAAGAAAAAGCAAAGTTTGGGTACCAACTCAAAAAAAAAAAAAACACGAATTCGACCTCATCACCCCCCCGATTCAGTCGAAATGCCTGGTGGATCACCACGTGGGTCAGCGGCTGCAGATCCAGGCCGTAGCGTCCCTTGTTGATGGGCAGCGCCTCCGGCCGAGCGCGGCGCGGCGAGAAAACTCCGAAGCGCCCACAAGCTCCAGGCTCCACCTCCCGACTTTAGAGAAGGATAGGTCGGTTTCGAGTTGGCACCCCCCTTTTGGCGGTGGTTTTTTGTTGTTCTTTTTTTTTTAAAGGAAGCCAAAAGGAAAATGCCCATTGTGATGTTTGCTTATAGCACACGTTGGTTTGTGATCTTTCAACCTATTCTGAAGGCTAGGAGAATCGAATCGGGCTGTTGTTTTTTTTTTCTTTCCGGCGATCACCCAAACACTCTCAGTAGCATTTTGACCAAACATGTGGATGGCCAAACCGCACTGGGCGATCTTTTCCTCCAGCTTTGGAGGCACTTTGAAAATGTTGGATTCCTCTGGCTTGAGCAAAGTGACTACAACCACCTCCACCACAGCAACAATAACCACCACCACAACCACGACCACAACCGCAACCGCAAGCAATGCGCCCTCTTGGAGAGATCCTACGTCATGCTCTTCGTGTCCCGTGCCGTCTCGAGGGCTGGCCCCATTGCTCTGACGGCCGAAACTACCAAGCCTTGCCAAGCGATGAAGTTGCATGACGCAGGCCTTTAACAAAATGCCTTCAGAAATTAGAACCCAACCACCAACCGCTTCCTTTGTCCTGCTCGGACACATGAAAAGCAACCCTAGCAAAACCCCAAGAAACCCCCCACACATTCCCAAGAAACACAAGAGTATTGACACGATCAACACCAGAAGAAACAAACAAAAAAGCAACCGTCCCAGGGGGAGAAAAAGAAAAGAAGAAAAAAAACGGTCCAGTGCCACTGCACGCCCCGCCTGCAGATAGCGAATAATGCACGACAGGAGCTCGATGGCCACAGCGCCATCCTGGGCACTCGAGATGTCAGGGTCAAAATCCCAACCATAAATAGCTGCGGCCGCCTTCTTAATTCTTTATGTGGTTCTGGGTCAACCATTTTAGTACCGGGGTTTGATGGTGACTCATGTCAATGTCTGTGTGCGTTTGGGGGCATCTTAAAGATTTGGGGGACCTGGGCTTCGGCAGCTTCCTTTTGGAGTCTTCTCTGGGAAAATCGGGGCGAGCCTCCTTTGACAAAAATCCAAAGGAGGCAGGTTGGCGGGCCCCCATGTCAGCTTTGTGTCACAAAAAGCCCCAGAACCGGTGGTGTCCTTGGGTTTGTTGGTCCAGCCCATGTGCCAGGGTCAAAACGAGTCAACATGTCACCCACGCAGCCCTTTGCCCAGGCTTCGGAATGCGTCAACACGTGACGCGCTGAGTTCGAGCCCTCGATCGGGCCAGGCGCTGTCGATTAAACCTTCAATAATAATAATAGTAATAATAATAATAATGATAATGGTAACAAAGAAGAAACAAATAAGAAGAAAGAAGAAAAAAATGAAAAAAATAAGGGGGGGAAAAAACGTCAGAGAAGTAGCGGGTCAAGTTGAGGATCCCATAGAACTGCATAAGGAAGGCCATCTAAAACTGATCCTTGCTTGGGGATTGAATGGGTTGATCCCACAGAGAGTTTCCCTCCAACACCTGCAAAAAACAACGGCAAGTAAAAACAAGGGCGAGCCGCTATTTGTTTGGCAAGCCACCCCTGATTCCTGCTGGGGGCAAGTGGGGGACAATGTCTCCAAAGATGCTAGCCACCTGATATCGTCGCAACAAATGCCTCGGCTGCCTGGGGCTGTGCACAGCACTTAGACCGAGCACCACAGCATCTGCCACGGCAAAGTTGCCCCAGACTGCCCCCAGCCCTCGCCATGGGCTCCCGGCGCAGGTCTTCGAGTGCTCCACGAAGGGCACCAAACCCGGCACCGCCGCCAGCAGCGAGGTGATGATCATGCGGTGCACCTCAGGGATCCGTCGATCTGACACGCCCTCCAAAACACATCCGATCCATGCTTTTCGCGCTGGGACAAGGGCAGCCAAGCCCAAAAAGGCAACCCAAACGGGGGGGGGGGGGGGGTTGGGGGGGAGGGGGTGCAGGTTGGGGAAAAAAACAATGGACACATTCCCCGTTTTGACCAAGCACCACCCCCCGGCTCGGCCCACCTGCAGCTGTGGCAGGTCCAGCTTGCTCAACCTCAGCTGGCACTGATCCAACCCCCAGTCATTGGCAAGGAAGCTTATGGCGATTGAGAGAGAAATCGCCAAAAAAAGACAGCAACGTGATATACCTTTGACAGCGAGTTCAAAGGGAAAATTCTGGAAGCCCTATAAAAGGGCCTTTGAGGGACTTGAGGTGGCAATGTTTTTGTCGGGACCTCGTTAGTTTGGCGACTGCCCCAATCCTGTGTGTTGCTCTCAATTGTGGTTTTCCAGTTGTGATATGGTCTTTTGCACGGGCCATGGTACCGTACCCTCCATGGCAACCTGTATATGAGTTGTGAAGTAAAAGGGCAGGTTCATTCATTCAAACCTGAGGCCGTGCCCCCTTATCCACAAAAAAACCGGCGAAAACGGGGCAAAAATGGCACACGGCTTGGGGGCCACGCGCGCCCAGACACGCCGCCTTCACAGCGGACCTGGGGTGCGTTGTCAGCAGCTCAACCTCAGCTTCGATTCGATGGGTGTCTAAGGGGTCTGCAAAAATTGATGTCCATGGTGTCCAATTCATTGTTTCTCCTATTGGTGTCCTATTAATCGTATGGTGTCCTCAAATATCCTTCTGTTGCGCATACTACTGGACCCAAAAGAATGGTGGTTGTCCTTTTGGCTTCCCTTTAGAACCGCCCCGAAAAGGGCCGTACCGGGTTCAATGTTCTTTTCTTGAAAGACCATCCCAAGGTCAAGGGCTCCAATCTCCTGCATTGATTGCTCCCATGTTGGTGTCTTTGGTCGAGTCGGCGCGCGACTTATGAAGATGGAAGTTGGAATAAGTAGAGAATGGGGAGACATGAGACTCCCCCCTGGGGCCGGTTTTTCCATCCAGTTGTTGTTTTTGTCCAACCCATCCAACATGGTGCCTTCCCAAAAACAGCTGCTCTGGGACACTCCCCCTTTAGCTCGCGTTCCCTGCACGCCCACACCCATGAGGCTCTCACTAGGATGTGCCCGATGTTCTCTGATCGTCCCCATGGGTCGCTCATCGAGGTGGCGAGGCCTGCGAACCCCGATTCGTTCCAGGAAATGTGGCAGGAATCAACCGAGGCTGAGAGTCACCTCTCAATGGTTCATGTACCCTTCCAGGAGTTGATGTGAAAGCAACACCAAAGGGAACCGAAGCCCGCGATGTTTCGTTCCATATCCCACGTGGGTGTCTTTTTGTTGTACGGGCACCCACTTTCGGGTGGCTTCAAAAAAGATAAACCTAGAGCACGCATCTGCGGGGGTGCCCCTTGCTTTAAGACACACCAATTTGGAGCCAAACCCATGGTCGAAAACCATCAACCTCCCGCCTGAATTCAGACTATGGGCAAGGGGCTGCACTGTTGGCCGCGCTGCCTCAGAGCGGCAGACGGGTTTGGATCTGGAGAAGAGAGTCACGGCAGGGCCCCGTGGACAGCGCAGGGCCGATTTTTCTCCTACGAAGGGTTGATTTCTTGATTCCCCATTCTTTTCAGGTATCGGTCTTTTCAAAAAACCCCCCCCAAAAAAAAAAACGCCATTTCCCCATGGTTTTTTTTGTGAATTTCTGGAAAGAAGGATCCCTGGAAAGAATGGGGAAGTTGTTACCCCCTCACACGAAACTGCTGCGGATGTGATTTCATGCATGAAATGTCTCAAGCAAGCTGCTGTGACTTTTCATGTCTCAAACAAATAAACACGTAGTCTTGCTGAAAGCGCGGGTTGCTCAAAAGGGACAAAAAGCACTCGCTGGAATGCGTGGTACTTGTAGTTCGACAAAAAAAAAAAAAACATAAGCCAAACACATCTAATCTAGAACCAGGCTTGACATGCTGGCAACGTGTACGAATTCAACGTGAAATACAAGCAAGCTAAGCTAGACACATTTTGATATGTATTTGAAACATGCTAGACAGTTTGATAGGGTTCAGCAAAAACTATCTTATAGTAATCAACGCATACTAGGAACCAAGTAGGAATGCGACTCGAATATGTTGGCCAGACATGCTCTAGGAATGCACTTGACACATGCCGAGGCTTCAAAAATACGCCAGAAACAGCTCAAAATACGAGAGGCAAGCTAGACAAAATAGAAACCGATAGAACAGCTAAATATGCACTACATTTGCCAGGCAAAAAGACTCGAGAAAACAAAACCTGGGGGGAAATGGTCAAGTTTCAAGCTGCTAACCTTTCGCCTGCAGTTGGCTTCGTTTTTACTTGTTTGATGCTTGCTCAAGGTTGCTTGTCTTTTCTGGGTCTCCCTGATTAAATGGTCGGCAATGAGGTTCTCTGTGCATCTGGCAGAAGTCACGCTGGGAGAATGAGTCTGCGTGATCTGCAAGCTATCCCAACCCAATGAGGAATTCGGGTGTCGCGACCTGCTTTCTGACAAGGACTCCTTCCTTTTGGCCTGAGGAATCTGCACTGCAGAGTAAAGAAAGCGGCTTTCAGTGAGCACGAATCCACTTCAATGTGCAGGGATTGACCAAAGCGAGGTATTTCTCAGGTGCTCAGTGGCCATTCGAAGAAAAAGAAAACGAAAGGCATCTTTGTTTGGTTGCTGGACTTTCAAGGGGAACCCTTCCCGAAAAAAAGACAAAAAGGGCACCAAGTGACTTTCGACTTTCGGATTTCGAGTCCCGAGGTCCCCACAAAGCGCTGCGCCGCATCACCCACGAAGCGCTGTGCCGCGTCACCCACAAAGCGCTGTGCCGCATCGGCCGCACCCAGTGCCTATGCGCAAGGTAGCCAAAGGTGAGGTCTGAACCAAGCAAAAGGGGAAAATGTAGGAAGCCCTGTCTCAGCAGCCAAATGGCGGATATCCACACCCACCTATGGTGAAGAGCATCCCCTGCTTACCTTTATCGAGGGACGCTCCAAGCGATTCCACTGGCTCTTGGCTTTGGTCTGGCGAACAAGAGTGCCATAACCCAGGAGTCACCTCCCTGTCCCTATCCAGCAAACGACCAACGAAACGAACGAAATTTCGGATGGTTTCGAAGGGGAAACCCAAAAAACCAACCAACAGACTTGCTGGTGCGAAAAGCAGGGAAGGAGAAATGGAATAACCCTCATAAGCCATCCAACTAGTGATTTCCTTTCAGCGGACCAAAGCCTGGCTTCCTTCCATTCCCACATTCCCCACCGATCGCGGCAAGAACCGCAGCCCCAGAATTTCAAGGCCGCCCCCGGAGGGCTCCTCGCCATCGCGCCGCACAGGCCGGCCGGCGAGGCCCAGGGCACGCTCCACCAGCCTGGGAACAGGCGTGACTGACCGTCTGGTCAAAACGGCGGCGGCCTCTAGTCATCATCAAAACCTAGGAAATGCATCAGGATGCATCAAAACCTGGGGGACTTACCGGGGTATGCTGCAAGCCCAAAATCCTTCAAAGAGTGCAAAGGCGGCATAGTGGATAGCTATGTTGTATACTAACCTTCATTGGAGTCGATTCCGGCTCACTCCCGAAAACAAAGCATCCGCCTGGAGCAATGACCCCTTTTCGGCAACGGAGATCCCCGTTGAACAGAGGCCTTACTGAATAAGACCACAAAAAGCAAAAGCGGGAGGAAAAATAGGTTCGATCCCTGAAATTCGCCAAATCAAACAGGAAAAGACGACCAGAACCGGCTGCCGAGAAACCATGGGCAACAGTCCCTCATGAAAACTGCAAGCCAGATGGAACCCGACGCTGTCTGGGACCCTGGGATCTCACCGGATTTTCACTACCGATTTTCGAACTCTGTCGAGTGGCTCCCTGGATGCTCCTCCTTTTTCTCGATTCGCTGAAGTGAAATTGATCCGTTCAAAAAGAAAGGAAATGGAGGAAAACCCGCCAAACCCCATCCGTCAATCCGTCAGGGACTGAGGAACCCACCCGTAGCAATCGCTCTGCGGCAGGCGAAGCATTCGGCTAACCTGTCACGCCCAAAAACAACCATGCCTCTGTGTGTGTGTGTGTCAAAAATAGGGGGACCCCCCCCCAAACAAATTGGTGGTGTCCTGTTGGTGTCCCTTTCAGCCAACCCCAACAAGGTTGCCCTCAAAAGAAACAGACAAATTCGGGGTTCTCCTAGTTCCCGCGCAGAAACTTCGAGCACCGCTTCCGTGACTCTGACGTCGGCGCCCGCCGAAATGCTGCCGTGGTCTTTTGCCATGCTTTCAGTCGGATGTGGAAGTGTCTCAGAGTGGGGACCCAATAAATGCTGGCTGATCTTCTGATTTCCCTTCGAACAAATCTAAGGAGAAGGCACTCAAGAAGCACAGCTTACTTCTCTGTCGGAAGCATCCAGCCTCAACATTCACATCAAGCAGAAGCCCTCAATGTTCAGGGCTGGGATTCAGCCCCTTTTAGTCTTTTCGTGGTTGGAAATGACAAAGGTCCCAGTTTAGAGAGAATCCTTCACTTTGAGGAAACACCCCGCGCCCCGATTGCTCCACCAGGTTGGTTCATCCGTCAGCATTTGTCTGATCTGGCCATTCCTTTTACTGGAACACCGTCCTCGGTGGTGGACATTCCTCCCCGTTTAAACATGCCTACGCAAGGGTCCCCGATTCCAGTTCATACCCATACATAATCAAAGGGAAACCACAAGGAAAGCCGCTATTTTTTTTAGAAAGTGCCCCTTCTGCAGGGATCCTTACATTATACACCTGAACATTGCCTTGTAAATAGTAGTTTCCCTTTTTATTTCGGTGGAAGAAGCAACATGTTTCAAATGGTTGCAAAATGGAGATCTTTTAAGGAGCCCTGTTCTGACACATACCCAAATATTAGTTTTGCCTCCCACGTTTGGGCGGTCGCGCGTCTTTCGTCAGCATCCAGGCTCAACCTTCCCCATGCGTCCGCACCTCATCCACCAGCTTCCCCAGGCGCCCTGTGGTTAGCCTTGGCCTGCGCAGGGGTGAAAGACCTAATTTTAAAAAAAAAATGAAACCGCAAGGAAAAATCAGCCTGAAGGGGTCAGAAAAAAAAGAGAGAAGCATTCAGGATCTCGCAATTTGGAGGCGTCCCTTTTTGTCTCCATTTGGACCAACCTGAGAGGGGTAATCAAAACACATACACTGGCCCTCCAAAACACTGACAACGGCAACTGTTTAACATCCAGCAAAACCTGTAGCACTTGGGGTGTGTAAAACAGACTTGAAATGGGCCGTGGCTAAGACACACTAGACACTACATTCCCTCCACGATTCCTCCCTATACACCCCCTGCAGATTGACATGAATGCGACAAACCAGACACGTTTTTGGACCCCATTGCGGCAGGCACACCGAATCGATCGCCAAAGAGGGCAACCCCGATTTGACAAGCCCGCCGGTGTTCTTATCACAAGCAGCCTTCAGCCCTTCAATCAGACAACTCCTGTGTTGCATTGTCACGGTCTCACTTTACAATTGTGGTCTGAATTCCTCATTTTGCGGGCTAGCCTGAACCCGTTTAAAGAAAGCACCCAAATACCCAAGACGCTGATCCATGTCCTTTTGAGCTCATCCATGTCCTTTTGAGGTCCTGTTGCTTCGGGACAGGACACCAACTGGAGACCCCTCGGTAGCGGGGCCTCTCAGCCATAGCGCGGCGCGCCAGGTGGGGCAAGTCGATGTTCTCCTTGCGACGAAATGGGAGGGTGGCCGTTTTGCTGGAGTTGAGGGAAAACACGAAAGGACAACACCTCTATGCTTGGAACCTGGGGTGAAGGCAAAACTCCAAAAACCCAATGATTGAAGGGTTTCAGGCAAAACCCGAGTCTCAGACGATGGCCTAAATGATCATGCAAACACATGTGTGAGCTGCGGTCGAAACATGTGTGTGACTTTGTAGGGTGCCCTCTCTTGGGGCTTGAGGGGAATCCAAAAGGAGAAGCCGCCCAGGTGTTGCCCCATCTTAAGTCAGACCGCTTGTGGCTAATACAAATGCAGGTGACACAATTTGGGTTCCGCCCTTCTGAGTTTTGTGGGAAATCGAATTTGTGCTCGTCTACGCCTCTCCAAAACTGAGCATGGACTTTTTCATCGAGCCTCACATTGCCTCAAAATGAAACCGCTTTCTGGGTTGGGGTGAAAGGGAAGCCGAAGGAAAACTCACCGCTCAAAACGTTAAGAAACACCCACATCCGTTTCATGAGGGTGTTCACTGCTTTCGTATAGATGTGAGAAGATCCATCTCAAAGCAACTGGACTCCAAAATCGGACACCGGGTTTCCGTTGTTTGGGACCCGCCGACACAGGCGAGGCGCGGATTTGTTTCCCGGATTGCACCTGACGGAATAAAACGGTATATCCCCAAGGTGATCCGAATCTGAATATGGGTTGATCTGCGGTTCCGTGCATCCTGTGAAACTCGGTCCTCTCGACTGCGCATTGGACAATTACCAGAATTTGGCTTGGGGGTGGTCAGAGGGAGGGGGTTGGTCGTAACTTGGGGGATCTCTGGTTCTGGCTTGGGGTTGGTCAAAGAAAAACTTGGAGGGGGGGCTGGTCATAACTTTGGGGGGTTGAATCAAATTTGGCTTGGGGGTCTCTCAAGAAAACTTGGGCTTGGTTGGCTTGGGGCTGGTCAAACGAAACTTGGACACGGACCCCGCCTCCAGCAAGGAGCTATGAAGGCCTTTGTTGTTGTCGCTGTCTAGATCAATATCTCGAGAATGGAAATCGCGAGACGCGAGAAACACGCACGCACTCGCACACGCCCATGCTGTGAAACCGTTTCGGCATCTCCTCTCTGCGCTGCCAGGCGAAGTGCCGGGAGGGCTCAGATGGCACGGCAGTTTCGGATTGTCTCAAAGAAACACGAGCGCATGCTTGCAAGATGCTACATCTTCAGCGGCACGTTGTGGAAAGCGGATCAGGGAATGGGGTAGGATTCCTTTGGGCAACTCATTCCCCAAGTCGAGCTCGGCCGCATTTGGGCGTTCAGTTCCCCTTGCGTTGCAGGTAATCCAAATGGAATGCACTCATTCTGTAGGTCCACCCCATTGTTCGGGACTCCCCTTTCGGTTTAGGGTTTAACGGGAAACGACCCGGAAACCGGAGCCCGTTTTAAAGCAACGGGTCCGTCTCCGTTGGGACCAACTCATGCAAGGGGGCCGATCTGATTCCGGTATTTCTGCACCCGTTCCGACCCCCCAATCGTGGAAGCTGATGGGAGAAATTTGGAAGACCTTCCCCAAACCGGAACACTACAACGAGGGTAACCTCCCATCGCTCCCCGGAAAGTGGCAATCAATTTGTTTCACCCGGATCCCCCATTCGGTGGCGGCGGGCGGGGGGTTTGGTTGGAGATCGTGGTTACCTCACCACCTTCTCCGGCCGAGGCGTGCTCGAAATGCTCACTTTCGGCCCCCAGACCTTGCTTTTTTTAGGTTTCGGCATCCCGTAGTCTTCCGGCAGTCTTCCCGTAGTCTTCCCGTAGTCTTCCCGCAGTCTTCCCGTAGTCTTCCGACGCTAAAACCAAGAAAATGCGTTTGGAGGCCGAACACGCTCATTTCGGCCCTCTCCGGCCGAGGCGTGCTCGAAATGCTCACTTTCGGATTCCAGACCTTGCTTTTTTTAGGTTTCGGCATCTTGTAGTCTTCCAACAGTCTTCCCGTAGTCTGCCCGCAGTCTTCCCGTAGTCTTCCGATGCGAGAACCAAGAAAATGCCGCGTTTGGTGTCACAAAAGAGATCCATCGAACATCCCCTGCGCCCCGGGTCCATCCGCCAGCTGGGTCCGAAAGTCCCCCGTGAACATGCGACCACTTCCGGGACCCAGTTCTCGGCTGGAAAGACTCACCAAAAAAAGTCCCGGAGGCCAATGAAAACCTCCAGCCACGCGGCATCATCCGAGACATCCTGCTCGCAAACCAGCAGCGCCACGAGCTGTGCCACCACCTTCTGCACGTCCTCTTCGCGCGGTTTCAGATGTGGCGTGCGTGTTTTGTTGAGGGTACCCTTTGTTGCGCCGGCTTCAACGGAGAACCGAAGGAAATGACACAGCAACAGGGGGGATCGTCTCTTCTATAAGATAGAAACAGAAGTATCATGCTTCAAAACCGACGAATTGTTGGGAGTGGCTGACATTTGAGATGAAACGCGATGTTCAAAAGTGCTCGGGGGATGCCACGCTGTCTGTTCAAGTGAAGCTTCCGAAGCAAGAAAGCAATCGTTCTGTGGACAAGAGATTACAATATGTCAAGCTTGCACAAAGGCAAACCATGAGCATATCATCCACCATCAAAAAACGGCGCTGAACCACAAACGGGAGCTGATCTGTCCACTCAACTCGCCCTGCCTCTGTCTCTGATTCTGAAGCCATCTAACAAGCTAAAGCATGGCCTTTGCAAGGCACAAAAAGGGCAAAACGGGGGGGAGTGAAGCTTGGCTCTATGCCAGCCTTATGACTGCTTCGTGCTCATCCTGAAAGCGTGTGCTTTCCAAGTGCCGAAGCCGGAAATTCGTGCGCATGCTAAAAGCTTTGCTGAGGCTTCAGGTAGGGTGTGCTTTTCGCTTTGCTGAGGCTGAGTGGCTGAGTCTCCAAGAGGGGGGAAGGTGTTGGAATTGTGTTGTCAGCTTGAGTCATGTCTCCCTACCTCGACTCTGCTGCATTTTGAGCCATGGTTTAACCATCTGCGACAAGCACCATCCTCCCTAAGGATGTGCTGATGCGAATACCGAGGATCCCTTGCAAATGAAGCTTGGAAGGAAAACACACAATTCGACACTGGCTGACAAAGAAAGAGGAATCAACCATTTCGGGGTGCCCTGGTCTTAAGACAAACCCATAGAATCTCGCGCAGCCATCGCCATGAGCTTTTCTCGCTGGCTTCACACTGTACCAGACTCACTCATCTCACCCTTGGCACATTGGCCTGCCAACCGCCACGCGCGTTTTGCACGTCGCAACGGCACCAGCAATGGCTGCCGTCCACGTCCTTGCAACCTTCGCTCCGGCTTCTCTCACAGCGTGCCGAGGCAAGGCTTCCATCCAGCGACCTAGGGAACATCACAAGCCGTGATCGCCAGTGAGCCTTGCAAATAGAACAAAGATATCCGTCATGAGCAATGAATTATGGTCGTCCACTTTCGATTTGCTTTGGAGGTGTTCCAAAAGCGGTTTCCCATTGTTCCCGGGCCCCAAAAAAGGGCGCCCGAGCTGAAAAGACGAGCCATGCGGTGAAAATGACCGGCACGTGGAACCCCAAGAGATGACATCCCAGCACACCCATAGAGCATCGTCCCTCCACAAATGAACCATGGACACCTTGACCCAATGGCTAAGCTGAATTGGAGGCAGCCATTGGCACTCCTTGGATCCCAAAACACCTCCAGTTGCATTGCCATTTTTGTGCGTTGCCTGGGTTTCCCTTCTGAAAAGCTTCCCAGAAGGACCGACCGTCTCGCCGGGTGTCCCACTTGACCCACTTCGGGACCCGTCGGGCGCCGGGCTCTAGCATTCCTCCGCCTGCCAGAATTTCAGGAGTCCGTGGCCCAGATCAGATTGAGCCCCGAATGGGCAACCCCTCCACTGTTTGCACGTCGAGACCCCCTTCAAGTAGTCCCAGAATCCACCAAAATGGCTCCCCTTCAGATAGTCTGATAATCCACCAATAAAACCCAGAGCCACCGATTTTTGGAGGCTCCCCTTCAGCTGTCCAATGTGACGGGTCGCTGACACCCCAAGCTCCGCCCTCCCGGCTTCCCCTTTTCGAGCCTCCGGAGTGGCACCTCGGGACACACAAGATGGGTATGTCCTGTTTTGGAGGGTACAGGGTACCTTTTTTTAGAAGGGCCCCTCATTTGGGGGTAGGCTTTTTGACACACAGGGATTTAGTAGTTGTTTGCGTATGCTTCCTTTGCAGTTTTCCAAAAAAACCCAAAAACCTCGAGAAAACCAAAAAAACAAAATGTCAGACCCTAACTCAGCCAGCATGGATACATAGGGTCTGAAATTTTGGTATGTTGGGTTTTTGGTTTTCTCGAGGTGTGTGTGTGTGTGTGGTGTGTCTTTTCCAAAAAAAACTCGAGAAAACCAAAACAAAAAAGAAAAACAATGTCAGACCCTAACTCAGCCAGCATGGATACACAGGGTCTGAAATTTTGGTATTTTGGGGTTTTGTTTGTTTTCTCAAGGTTTTTTGCACTCTGCCAGAAAACCAAAAAACCTTGAGAAAACCAAAAAAACAAAAAATGTCAGACCCTAACTCAGGCAGCATGGATACATAGGGTCTCAAATAGGGTCTGGAATGTGGTTTTTCTGTTTTTTGGTTTTCTCGAGGTTTGCTTGGTTTTGGGATTGGGGTCAGCAAGAAGAAACAAATATCCGCAAGAAGGACACATTTGCCATCGCGGCCTGGACATGTTCATTTCACTTGCTAAACGCAACCGAGTTCTATTCAAATGAACTGAAAGAAATAGCCAGCTTGTCTTTCCTTACCATATTATCCAAATTATGGCTAAAATCTAATTAAAGTCCTAGCTACTTGGAAAGGAAATCCCAGCTAAATTCTGATTCAAAACAGCAGCTATAATTGAATCAGATAGAAGAAACTACCAGCTTGTCTTTCCTTACCAAGTTCTAGCTATACACATGTCAAATACAGATCATATTTGGAAAGAAATTCCCATTTAATGGATGGAACTCCTGTTTGCAATTTACCTAAAGTTAATACTTAAAACAAATAGATAACTAAATTCTACTTGACAGCATATTTGGATAAGACCCCATTGCAAATCTAAAAATAACACTTAAATTCAAAGTGCCCATTAACTTCTAATTGGAACCCTGCTTGGAAGGGAAGTGCTGACTAATATCTAGTTCAAGAACATGAAGTGAAGTCTGATCGAAATCCAATTTTGAATGTAAGTAAAGCCTCGCAATGTAAACCTTGCAAACAAATTGTAATAAAACAAGTTTTTTTTGTCCATGGGTTTTCGCCTCTTTTCAGAGGCTTGCATTGCAATTTAGAAGAAGAACAAGTTTCTCTTTCCTTATTAGATTCCCAACTAAAATCCTACTTGGGAAGGGACACCTATTTGAATTCTAATTCAACATACTATGTCAACTTGAAGGCTAATCGAGATATGATTCAGCCTAAAGCGGCGCAATCTAAAACTTGTAAACAAACAGAACTGAAATTGCATTTCCTTTGAGTTTCTATTGGTTTGTTTCTCCTTAAGGGGCAGGCAATTCAGAATAAACGACCAACTTGTCTTTCCACAAAGGATTCTATTGAATTCTAATTCAGTTCTAATGCCAAGCACTGCAACAGGAATGACAAGACAGATGCCAAGAGAATTGCAGCTACACTGGTAATAGACAAGACACTTTCGGCGACTGGCCTTTTCTTCAACACGGTCTGATAGTGTAAGCTTGCAACCCACAAGCAATTCTGGGCCAATTTTCAAGGTCCAACGGTCTGGTGAAGCCTGCTTGAAACAGACAAGCAATTTTGGGCACAACGTCCAAGGTCCAAAACATTAAAAGCGCATTGCCCGCATACTATTGAATCTCAATCTGCCCCAATGCGCGTACAGTAATTCTCTCTTGTGGGTTAAAACTGGTGCATTTTGTGGGTGTCAAACCCCCCCATGAGGGGACGCTCTTCTTTTTCGGGGGGGGGTTGTCAACTGGTCTTTTTTTTTGGGTTACTTTTTTTTTGGGGGGGGGAGGGGTTGAAGGGAGAGCAAAAGAAAAGCCGAAGCCGTTTTGGGACTGTCCTCTTCCGCCCAAGCTTTCATGGCACTTCGGAGACTCGCAAGAACCGACCAGGTCGACTCGCCCAATGGTCGCCGATTCCCCTTCATAT